ATAATTAACTGCAGGATATTTCTTTTTGTCAAAGTTATCGCATGAAAAGGTAAGTGGATTTAGATTCTTTGAATAAAGTCCTACAAAGTGCATATAAGTTTGGTTCATTTTTTTTCATAATTTCTTTTTTAATTGCGTTTTTATGAAAAATTACGTGGTGGGGCAAATCCGACCTCTAAATAGTGGGGTAAATCCTGACGCAAAAAATCCAAAAAAAAACACAATCACACCAAACCCATCAACATCGCAGCCAACCAGACGTTCAACTCGAACCAAAAAACGCCAGCAAGCTATTTGAGCAGCGAATCAGATGATACTGATTAATTATTTTGCTATTTTAATTTTTTTTAATTCTTTTATCTTTTATTACCATTATATAACATAACATTGATTGATTTATCATTGCAAAACCTATATTTAGGTTATATCTGTACTAAATCAACCAAAAACATAGGCGGTCGGGTTTACCCCATCATTTTTGAACATAGCAAAAATGAACTTTTTCGTAAAACGCTTGTATCTCAAAACTTTTCAAAGGTATGAATAAAATGCTATGCTATAGAACGTTGCGCAAAAGTCTAACCTTTAATTTGGTATATATAACGACTTTATCCGATGTAAAATAAGCATTTTATAGCCAAAACCATTTACTAGGTCGGCTTTACCCCACCTTACCCTAAATATATGGAGAGAATAAAAATATATAGATAATAGATGTGTCATGTAAAATGTCTTACCGGTGGCGATGTCGTCGCCGGGAGCGGCAAAAACGATAGCAGCAGGGACTCATCCTGGTCCGGGTCCTTGACCTCATCGTCCAGCCTCGCCGAGATATTCGATGGCATAAGGTCGAGGTCCAGGTCCAGGTCCAGAACGAACATCTTTATTACAGAGGCGTCTATGTTTCCCAAAGTGGATTCGATGTCGATCTCCTGGTGGACCTCCCTCTCAATCATATCCGCGTTCTTATTTGGCAATATTCGGGTCGCGATTTCTCCCATTTTTGATTGCAACGTGTTGAATATCTTGCCCTTAAACAAGACCAGCTGCCGAGCCTCCTCTTGGCAGTTCCGAATCGAATTCAGGAATGTTCAGGAGCTGCCGATAGGCCTTCTCGGCCACTATCGCCGCGTCCTCCAGCTCTTGGGGCGTCAAGGCATTTCCCGGCAGGTCCTCAAGCATTTCTGCGAGTGTATACTGCATTTTCTTTGCGATGTTCATTTTGAATATGGTAAGAAATGCGACGCCGCGCGAAGCAAAGAAGTGAATTTAAAACGCAAGCCTAAAAAATCGCTTTAGTATTTTATTTTGCCATATTTGGTGTGTACACACTTACCTCGACAGGTCTTTGTCTAGGTTTTGGCTTTCTAGCCGGGACAATAATAACAAATAATTCTCCTGACGAGTTTGTGGCACTCCAGCAGCCGTGCGGTCGATTTCGGCGAGTGTCCTTCGTTTTGCGCTGGCCGGGATGATGCTGGCCATGGAGCGGATTTGGGCCAACTTCTCTTCCTTGTCGTGGCAGCGGAATACCGCGTTCCTGTGGAGCAAGTCTGTATGTCCCATTGTCGTGTCCATCCTTCTCGAAAGGTGGCGGAGGTCCACAAGGACGGCCCCTCGTCTTCCACTATGTGTATGTACTTACGATCTTGGTAAAGACGACCTGCTTAACAGATCCGTCTTCCGATGTCGCCAGAAAGTAGGCAATATGGGCCAAGGTGCGCTGCAACAGCAATATGTATGTATGGTCAGCGAAGTGAATGGCATTTTTATACCCTTGCAGGGTATTATAATTTCAGTCAGAAGTTTGCAACGCAGTGAAGGAGACGTTTCCGACCCTATAAAGTATATATATTCTTGATCAGCATCAACAGCCGAGTCGATCTAGCCATGTCCGTCTGTCCGTCTGTCCGTCTGTCCGTCCGTCTGTCCGTCCGTCTGTCCGTTCCTACGCAAACTAGTCCCTCAGTTTTAAAGCTATCTGAATGAAACTTTGCAAAGAGTCTTCTATATACTCTCACTGCTATATATGTCGGAACGGGCCGGATCGGACGACTATATCATATAGCTGTCATACAAATGTTCGATAAATTTTGAGAAAAAAAATTATAACTTGGTTGTTTTTCAATATTTTTGCATCATTTTTGAGATATAGCCATTTTATATTATTACAGAATTTTGGTAAAAATTTTATGAAAATCGGACGACTATATCTTATAGCTGCCATAGGAACGATCGGAAAAAGAATAGGAAAAAAATTATAACTTCGTTGTTTTTCAACATATTCTTATCTACTTTTAGATATAAGCTTTTTTTATTACTTCAGAATTTTTGTACAATTATTATGAAAATCGGACAACTATATCATATAGCTGTCATATAAACGATCTGTAAATGTGGAGAAAATGTAAAGCTGGGAATGTAAAACTGTAACTGTCAAACTGTAAACATAATAAGTATAAGTAAAATGTAATGAAACTCTGTTTTGTGAGTGTTTTCAGCATTTAAATTTATAATATAAACATCAAAACCAATCTGCAAGGGTATACAAACTTCGGTGTGCCGAAGTTAGCTTCCTTTCTTGTTAAGTATTATTTTAGTTAAATAAGTCTTAAAACAAGAAAGAAGGCTAACTTTGGCCAGCCAAAGTTTGTATACCCTTGCAGGTAACAATTAAAATATATCATAACTAAGCCAAAAATGCATTAATTTCGATTCGGAAAGTAGTTTTGTGTTAGTTTTCATTAATTAAAAAAAACTGCATACCAAATTAAAAATTTTAAGAAATCAAAATTTTTGGCCATTTTTGCTAATTTTAATGATCTAACCCCTTATCAAATTTCGCAAAAATGGCCAAAAAATCGGTTTCGTCCGGACATGTCTAGAAAGATACGCATGTTAAAGCTGATCAAGAATATATATGCTTTATAGGGTCGGAAATGATTCCTTGACTTAGAAAAATATTATTTTGTATTATAAAATCTGATTTTTTATATTAAAAAACTTCTTGATTTTTTTTTTAATTAAAAATATCATAACTCGGCCAAAAGAGCATTAATTTTAAATCGGAAAAAAGATTTTCTACAGTTATTAAATCTGCATACTTAATTTAAATTAATTAATAATGAAAATAATTGATTTTGAAAATTCTGTTTAAAGTTTATGTTTACAGTTTGACAGTTTCAGTTTTACATTCCCAGCTTTACATATTTTATACATTTACCGATCGCTTCTATGGCAGCTATATGATATAGTTGTCTGATTTTCATAAAATTTTTACCAAAAATCTGAAATATTAAAAGAACCTCATTTCTAAAAGTTAATAGGAATATGTTGAAAAACAACGAAGTTATCATTTTTTTCCTATTCATTTTCCGATCGTTCCTATGGCAGCTATAAGATATAGTCGTCCGAATTTCATGAAATTTATACCAAAATTCTGGAATATAATAAAATGGCCATATCCTAAAAATGATGCAAAATTTTTGAAAAACAGCCAAGTTATAATTTTTTATCTAAAAATTTATCGAACATTTGAATGGCAGCTATATGATATAGTCGTCCGATCCGACCCATTCCGACATATATAGCAGTGAGAGCATATAAAAGACTATATGCAAAGTTTCATTCAGATAGCTTTAAAACTGAGGGACTAGTTTGCGTAGAAACAGACAGACGGACAGACGGACATGGCTAGATCGACTCGGCTGTTGAATGCGATCAAGAATATATATACTTTATAGAATGGGAAAAGTCTCCTTCACTGCGTTGCAAACTTCTGACTGAAATTATAATACCCTGCAAGGGTATAAAAAGAACTAGAACAAAGCGCAAAGTTTACTTTAAATATAAAAATAAAACGAAATCTATAACTCGAAACAATACTTAATAACCGAATAACAAAAATGTAAATGAAAATATAAGAAAGAAAGAAAATAAAAGTAACCGTATTCGAACCCACGCACCTCTGACTGGCAGTCCAATGTCTTAACCACTAGGCTAAATGGCAAGCAGCGCGTGTAGCGACCAGACTCGACCTAGAATCGTGCGGCGGGTATGGATGAGTGTTGTGAGATACTTTACTAACCCACATCTAGATGTCGCTATATTTTGCGGTTATAGAGCCTACATAATTATTAAACTTTACTTCCTTTAAGGGGGGACATCTGAGTAACTGGTCAAAAAAAAGCCGATTTTCAAGAATTTTTTTTTGGCCAAATGAAAAAGCAATCGAAAAATTTTTAAGTAGGTTTGATAATGTTATATGTGAAGTACAAAATACATTTTTTTTTAATAAATCGAAAACAAAATGGCGGCTGTGCAGCATGTCTTCGTAGGCCCTATTTTTTTGAAAGGGGTCCATGGCCGGAAACCTAACGTCCTTAATTTTTGATCTAGAACAAAAAATCAAATTTTGTTAGATTCTATATCTCAACCGCTATCGACACACGTGGGATTTTTTTCGATATTTTGATTTTTAGCAAAATGGTAAGTGATTAAATAAAATTTTTAATTTTCATGAGAAAAAAACGTCACAAAATTGTTGATAAAAAAAAAGTAAGCAAAAAAAAAAAAAAATCCTACGTGTGTCGATAGCCATAGGTATTTTGAATATACTGTCAAAATTTCAGATCGATCGGTTAAGATTTGTTCGAGTTAGGTTTCCGGCCAACTTAAAAAAAGTGGTTTTGAGATAATCGCGTTTAAAGTTTTAAAATCGTATATGATTACATGTGAGGCATCGCCGTAGAATGGAAAATTTTGACACTTAGAAACTTTTGCCGGACTCTATCTTTTGATATGTTATTTTTAGGACCCTAAAGTATTTTTAAGCAAAAAAAAAATTTTCGATTTTTAAAAAAAGTTACTCAGATGTCCCCCCTTAAGTAAATATATTCAGTAAGTAGGTATAATTATGTTCATAGTCAAAAAATAAACTCTATATATTCCCCCTAGTTCTGAAAAACACAAACTCTGACTTTTGATTGTTTTAAACATTTTAATTGAATTAATTTTGTCGTGTGCATGAGCTGCTATAAATAAATAATTACAGTACGTTATAAGATAAAATTACAATAGCTTCTGCCGCCTGATTCGGGATTCGAGGAGAAGCGACTTACGTGATAATGCCCTACCAAAGGACCCCCGCTCGCGGGGGGTCCCCTTTAAATTAATATTGTGTAAAGTAGGACTAAAGCTAGAGTGTAAATGTTATGCAATAATTTAGAAAATTATGTACAGCAAATGGGAATAAATTAGGTCCAATCGATCGATTAATACGTTACATGAGCTGTGACTGCTTCGCTTAGTTCGCTTAGTGTGCTGGTTAATCACATTCACTAACTAGTGGTAGGGTTAGGCTATAGTACGGTTAAGATTACGATTATGACGATGGAAGTGCTATCAGCTTGTGGTTCACTGGGCAGTGTTGGGAGGTGACGGGTGACAGGTGACAGGTGAGGTGGAGCAACTGGAATCGTTGCTCGGGTTATGGCCGATGCGCCGATCTCTTGATCTCTCCATAACCGAAGCACGAGTCCGAGTCTCAGTTGGATTCCGCGGAAAGTGTTGGTGGTGGTGGTGCTGGGCATTCGCTAAGGAGGTCTCTCTGCCCCCGATCCAGTCTAGAACTGCAGTATCTGGTTGATCCAGTCCCGGAACTCGGAGATGCGCGTATACACGCCTGGCTGGTTGGCCTCCGCGCACCCAATGCCCCACGAGATGACGCCGCCCAGGTGGAAGCGCTTATCGGACTCCCTCTGCAGCACCATGGGGCCACCGGAGTCACCTGTGAAAGAGGATCATGCTCAGTAATCCCAGAAATTACATATAATCTGTCAACAACTCACCCTCGCAGGAGTCGTAGCCGCCCTTCTTCCAGCCGGCGCAGATGAAGATGTGCGGGATGTGCTCGATGTAGCCCGCCGAGCGGTACATGGACTCACAGATGGTGTTGTTGATCACCGGCACGGCCACCTCCTGGAGCACGCTGGGCAGCGGTCCGTCCTCGTACAAGCGGCCCCAGCCCGTGACAAAGGCCGTCTGTCCAATGAAGTTCTCGTCGTTGTCCGGCACGCACACAGGTATGATGTTGGGTTGGAAGACGACGGGCTCGTAGAATCTGTTTGGAATGAGAGCGACTTAGTGTTAGATCAAGGATCGAAGTAGGATGAGGTTCCTCACCTGAGCAAAGCCAGATCGTATTCAAAGGTGCGCGGGTCAAACTGGGGATGCGAGGCTACGATCTGGACGCGGCGCTCCTGATAGCCATAGGGCTCCTCCTCCTCGGCCAGGTCGTACTCGCCCAGGCGCAGCAGCAGATCGGAGGGCGGCACGCTGGAGGAAGTGACACATTCGTAAGGGGGATGGTAAACATTAAGAGGCATCGATTACTCACTTGTCCACACAATGGGCCGCCGTGATCGCCCAGTTCTCGTTCAGCAGGGCCGCTCCGCACTTGTGCAGGTAGGTGGAGGTGCGCCACTGGCGCAGGGAGATCTGCCAGGGCCAGCGACCGAAGGCGGCGTTGGCTCCACCAACGATCCTGGGCTCGGGGAACATGCGACGGCCGCAGACTGGACAGGATAAAAAGCGAGAGCTTGGTTAATAGGCCTGCGTCGGGGGTCACAATTAAAGTAATGGGCCGCCAGGGCCTTAAACATTTTAATCACTCCGCCACGGCACTCAGTCATCTTGGCCGCAGCCCGAAATGTAATGTGCTTTGGCCACGGCCCAGTCCTTGACTTTGGCCATCCGCAAGGCAGGCAGTCAACGGCCTACTTTATGGCCAGCCCAACTCGTTCGCAACTTGGCCCGAACCGAACCAGGCTCGGCTGAGCCGCGTCGCGACTCGTTTCGATTCGTGCATCAAGATTGCTTTTGCCAGCCGCAAATCGGTCAACGGGCTGCTGACGGGACAGCAGGAGGACTCGAGGTCGGGAGGGGATCGGGCCATTGCATTGGCTCCTTTTCTTCTTCGCTGGCCGGCTGGCTGGACTCTGCAGACGACGGCCAGCAAGCAGCAACGTGACCCAAGCGGCACAATGACCGAGGCGATCCCATACACGATGCAGTCATTATTGTAAATGATTGCTGTAAAAATTGTTGCGGACTGTGTCTAGCAGAAGATTCAGCTTAGGAGTGTTCTTACACAGGGAAAAATAATTAGGGAAATTAAGTTGAAACTTAAAATTCACTTCCTTTGTAAAATAAACTAATGGAAGCAGGAAATAACCCCCTTTTAAGGCCAACTAAAATCAATTTAAAAGCAATCACACTCCAGTTTTTCCCCGTGTAACCATTTATGAGCTGGCCCCGGGACTGCATCTCGGAAGATGTCTCCGCTTCTTGGTCTTCAGCCCGATGCTGGCTCAAGGCCAGCGTTTAGCCTTCAAATTGAATTTAATGGCCACGCACACGTTGGCTTTGTCTTATGGCCAAAGTGAGGCTGAGTGAGCTGCGAGTGTATTAATAGATTTCTTCCCGCAGGAAACAAGTTTTCCCCGCTGCTCCTCTCGATCACTCACCTTCCTTGTAATCGACGCCCTCCAGAGCATTGGCGGGTGCCACGGTGGTGCTGCCAGTGGCCTCAATGGTCGTGGTGTTCGGTTCTTCGCCGCTATAATCGGTGGTTTCACCGGCAGATGTGGTTTCGGGACTGCTGGTGGTGCTGCTGCTGATAGTACTGCTTATGCCGCTGCTGCTGGATGCCACCTCGTTGCTCAGCTCAACGGAGGATGATGTAGATGAGGCCAATTCCACGCTGCTCGACGGAGCCTCGGTGGTTTTCACTGTGGTTGGCGTTGCAGTTGTCGTAGCTTTTGTTGTTGTTGTTGTTGTTGATGGTGGTTTTGGTGTACTTGTGACTCTTGGCGGCTTCGTGGTCTTGTGCGGCTTGGCCGTGCCGTGCGTCTCCACCTCACTGACACTGGTGGCCACCGAGATGACCACTTTGTCGGTGGCACTGGGAGGGGCTGTAAATAGGAGTGTAAGTATAGTTTTTAAGGAAGAACTATGTATATGTATGAGTATTTATTAGCCCCTAAGTGGCTTTTGGAAGGGCCGGTTAAGGATTCCAGGATAATGTCATTGCCTAGCAATAGTTATAAAGTTATTTTCGAATTATACCCTTGCAATGAATTATAATTTTACTCTGAAGGCAGTTGAGGAAGAATTTCCTATCATCTCTGGGCTTTAGTTTCCTATCTAGATTCAAGTTCCCTTTTTGGCGGAGTGTAAACTTACCTGTTGTAGCTCCTGTTTTATTGCTCGCTTCCGGGACTGGGGTGGCCAGTGGCATCCAGTTGGGCGGCGGTGCGGGCTGCCAGTCATTGGAAATGCTGGCATTTGTTGGCGGCTCAGCCTCGACGTCTGTCCAGGTAATTAGGCCGGGTTTCTTGGTGGCTGGCGTTTCGGGAACGCTTAAAGGAGCCTCTGTGGTTAGTAGGGGCTTCACTGTAGTTGTAGTGCTCGGTTTACTGGTTGTTGTTGTTGTTGAGGGGGTTGTTGTAGTGGGTTTGGGGGTAGTTGTTGTCGGAGCTTTGGTTGTAGCTCGGCGAGTGGGTTTCGTAGTGCTGGTAGTGGTTGTTGTTCCAGCTGTGGTGGTGCTCGGCTTCTTCTTGGTCACCAGAAGAGGGGTGGTGCTACTGGGCGAGGTCTTGGGAGGATTACTGCTACTACTGCTAATGCTGCTGCTGGTATCTGCCGCTGTTGTGGGTTGGCTTGTAGGTTCCGCCAGAAGAGCCGGCACCTTTACAATTTCCCCAGTGGGCTTGGGCTTTGGACGTGGCGCCTGAGTGGTGCGTTCCGGCACCTTAATGGTTGTCCGGTTATTGTTGAGTTCGTCCTTAAATGATGTGCTGCTTGTTGTCGAGCTGGTGGAACTACTGATGCTACTGCTGCTCGTGTGGATCACTGGTCTCCGTGCCGGCACAGTAGTAGCTGTGTTGTTACTCAAAGTGATTGTGGTGCTGCTCGCCAGGCTGTCAATAGGTTTCCTCGTGGACTGCGATCCACTAATTGTTGTGGATGTTGATCCAACGGGCTTCTTGGACGGCGCAGGTCTCCGGCTGGAATGCGTCTTGTGGGGCTTGGGCGTAGTGGTGCGCAGCGGCGGTGTGGGGCGTTGGGTGGTCACAGCGGCTCTGGTTGGTGTTGGAGTTGTGGGTACTGGGGTTGTTGATGTCGTCGTCGTTGTTGGGGGGCTGGTAGGGACTGCTGTGGGTTTGCTGGTCGTCCTGCTAGCCGCTGAACTGCTCGCAGTGGGTCTAGAAGTAAAGTAATGAATGAAATGTTTAATTAATTGGATTTAAATATATATACTTTTAATTATTTATGAAGAAAATTACTTAAGTATTTCTTGTTTTTGACAGGAAATAAATTTATAAATACCTGGTGTGCCGCCTGGTTGGTGCTGCCGTCGTGGTCGTCTCCTGCTGTTGACGAGTAGGTTCCGTCACTGGCGGAGTCGTGGTCTCCACAATTTGGAAGGTCACAAACTTGGTGGGCACCGAGGTGGTTTCAATGCGCTGCTCCTGCACCACCGGAACCGTAGTTAGCACGGGCTTGGCTGTGGTGGTGCGTCTGCGCGGCGGCTTAACTGTTGGCAGCGACGACGTTGTTGTCGAGGGAGCAGAAGAAGCAGTAGACGAAGGAGAAGCAGGTGCTCCGCTGGGCTTGAAAGTGGTCCGGACCACGAAGTGTGAGTTCTTGTGGGTTGTGTGTGCCAGCGATGGGCGGCGGGTGGTGGAGAGAGTACTGGCCCCAGTAGCGGGCTTGGAGGTGCTCAGATACGACTGGGTAACGTTCTTGAGCAGCTCGTTGGTGGATGACTGAGGGCTCTGGTGGTGGGTAGTGGACAGGCTGCTCTCGGTGGTGAGCTTGAAGAGAGCACTGGTGGGGAGAGTGGTGGATTCATGGGCAAAGTGGGAGATGGTATTCTGGTCGATGCTATTGTCATTGATCTCCGGTGCAAAGAGCGAGGCTTCCTCCTGGGGGTAGGAATAAGATACACATTAGAGTAATCTGGAGGAGATTGAGAGGATTTGTGACTTACCTTCAGGGCACAGCAAGAGCCAAAGTAGAAGCGATCGATGCAGGTGCCCAGGTGGGTGCCATTCTGCTTGATGCAGTCAATGGCGAACATACAGACTCCCGAGCGTCCGGACTTTCGGACAATGCAGGGCAGATGGCGGATATTTCGACCAGATTGGACTGCAAGAAAATATAAAAAGAAATATTAGTTTAAGTCATATATAATATATTTCAAGCAGCATAAAAAAAAGATATACCTAATAATTAAAAAAGTTTATACCGAACTGAAAACTATTATTGTTTAGCTTCTGTCCAGAAATACAACCATCATAATCAGTATAATAGCCCCCCTAATGATGATTATGATGAAGACGATGACAGGGGAGGGCCAGGGAGCACATATGATTCCTATTCCTATTCTGGATCCACCGATTCGAATCGACTGGTCCACACCATTTCCGTTTGCCGGGCCGATTAACGCCTTCGAATTTGTACGCCAATTTGAGCCAGGCCTTTACCGTTAGGCAAACAGTTAACACAAGTGAAAATGAAGTGGCAACAAGCGAAGACGAAGACGAACACATGAACATGAACCCAAAGCCGCGGCCCAAACACGAGGAGAACCCATAAAAGCCGCAAGATCGCTGAAGGGCGTCATCATCATCGCATATAAGACCGCCCGATGAGGCAACACAGTAGCCCATCCGCATTATTGTTATTTATTTATGATTTCTGCTTTTCTGCGGCCACCGCACTGCGCGCTGCCCCAAGAACCGCCAGCATCGTCATCATCATCACCATCGTTGTCGCTGTCGACATTGTGTAATCGAGCCGAGAATTATCCAAGCTCGAGCTTTGAACTTATATAATTGCACAGGCCCCAGCACGGGGCCAAGAGCTTCATGTGGACATAGCATTTGTGTTTATATATTGCTTTTGTTTCCGGCCAGGGACAAAGCCAGCCCTGTTGGCGGTCCTGATACCCCCTTTTGGCCATAAATTTAGTTAACAAGCCGACGGAGGCAAGCATTTCGGGCTAAGCGCTTAAAATACTTGCATATAAATAACGCACTTTGCATGCCTGCTGCTCTGCTGCTCTGCTAAATGGAGAGAAAACAAAGCAGGGCATCGTTTGGCTGGCTTAAATACCTTTTTGGAAAGCCTTATCGAAGGTGCGAAAATCTGAGATTTCTTTCTTTTTGGAAATGGGCCTTATAAATGGAAATAGTCAACAGTTTAAGTCGAGAATCTCTTAAATAATAGAACAAGCATTCATTTATAAGTCATTTGAAAGACAAATTAAATATTCATCATCTAGCCTCACAATATAAATGTTAGACAAAAAAGTAAGAAATAAAGTTGCTGTGTCAAAAGTTGATTTATCTGTTTGAGGTTTTTGTTTTAAACTATTATGCTATACCATTAACAATGATAGTAAAGGCCTGCCCAAGAAGGAAACACAGTTATTTTGCAGTCTATGTTGGTTATTCAGAACCAAAAAGAAAAAAATATCACAGATATTCTGAAATTCATACATTAAATATATTAAGAAATGCATTCACTTTGTAATGTTATTATTATATTCTTTCTTTTTTAGCTCAACTTGAATTTAATTCCATTGAAATAGTAACCAATATTCCCTCACTCTTGCAGGGTATTGAAATAAATATTGCCCACAGCCTTTTTGGCGTTTTGCGTTTATTGAACTTTGGCCGTAAAGTGTCGCGCATTTCTTATGCAATTAACACGAAACTCTGTCATGAGCTCGCTGGCCAGCGCATTTTAGTTCCCGAAACAAACCAAAAAAACAGATGACTCAAGGCACGAACTTGGACGAAGAAGAATCAATCGAAACGAAACGAAATGAAATCCATCGAAAGGGGGATTCAGTACCGAGAGACACGGTCACGTTCCATGGATCGTGGCAGAGCCGGCAGCGGTGGTTCTGTTTCTGTTTGCATTTCGTTTTGTGGCTTTTTGGGTCAACAGCTTAGCATATGTTTCGCTAGCCACTCGCTTCGCCTACCAAATAGCCGAGCCAGGCCAAGCCAGCCAGGCAGCCAGAATGGAATCGATGTCTCGAAGAGAGGTACGGACCCGCATTGCAATGCGGGAAATTCGTTTTTTCGTTGTCGTTTTTCGTTTTTGGCATGCGAATGCGGCACAGCATTTTCGTGGCCCAATTGCGGGTGAGTGAGTGGCGGCTTAAGTGGGTCAAAGAACCGAAGAATGCCTCGGTTCGATCTCCGGGCTGGTTGGCTTTATTTCCCTTTCACTTGCCATCAAATTTACTTTCCGCTTTCTGCAGCCGCCCGCCCCGCCTGTGTGTGTATCCATATTATTTATATTTTCTTTGTTGCCGCTGCGGTCCAGTCATAAACATGAAATGCTCGCCGGCAGCACACACACACTTTCTTGCCAAGAGTCCGCGTCCAAGTCGCAGCCCAAGTACGATTCCGATTCCCTGTCCGATCTGGTGTCCAAGTTGGACTGGCCTGACTGGCGGCGGCGGTTGCTTATTTTATGGCAACATTCTTTGATGGCTGACCTCAATTGCTTTTGCTCGCTGACGTTTGCCGGCGCTGCTCGGTTTATATACTATATATATATGAAAGTTTTGTAGTTTTATTTTCATCTCTGGCCGACCGCTCTGAGCAGCTCAAAGGCTGCGCTTTGTTGTCTTTCGGCAGACAAATTGGCAGCTGTGTGGGGCCGGCCGCTGGGGAGGAAGTGCTAATAGCGTATAAATTTGACTCTTAATGGCGGTGACCCAATTAATCTTCGTTCCCGGCAACGCCTGTCTCTATTGTCATTAATTTTGATTACTTTCATTAGAAATGCTCTGGCTCTAGCTCTGGCTTTGGCCATGCCTTTGGTTCGCTGTTCTCAATTTGGTTTCGGTCGCGTCAAGTTCGTAGCTTAAGTCTTTTGTTTTCTATTGCCGTCTTTAAGTCGTTCTTTTTGGCAATAAAGTTTATTGGTGCTACCAGCACAAGTGGCTTGATGTGGAGAAGGAAGCTGATAGTTAACTATAATTTCTTAACATCAAGTTAAAAGCAAAAAAAAGTTAGATTTTTGTTAATTATAAATACATTTTTTTTAGAATTATTTATATTTATATTTATATTATATTTAACTAATAATCTGTTAATCTGTTAGATTTAAATGATTTTAGTGCCCCTACTGCGTTGTTTTCTTTCCCAATTAATCAAATCTTCAATTTTGTAATAAATTTCGCTTTCATTTTGAATGAAACATCAAATTAATTCATTAAAATTAAACAAATTCTGAGGAATTTCATCTTGAATTAAAAAAAGAAGAAGTCTCTATGATTCATATCTTTGAATTATTACTTCATTCAGTTGTTTTTTATTATTTCATTCATTTCTCGCGGGATTGTGCCCCTGTCTTCCCTTTTAAAACTTATTTTGGAACGTGCTTATTATGTTTTCTCAAGATTTTTGGCTTCTGACTGATGGATCTCTTTTACTTTACTGGCAGACGAAGCGTTTTCGTTCCATTGTAATCACTGTGGATGCTCCCCTTCCCGAAAAGAAACTTTTGATTGTCTACGTGAGAGAAAGTGCTGGAGTTCTTGGGAAACCAAGCCGCATCCGTATCTCTGTATCTGAATCTGCATCTGGGTAATTCCAGGTAAGTGAGAGCGGTAATTGTTTGACACCCATGGCTTGATGGGGACGATGATTCAATCAGAAAGGGTGACCACTTACACTGTGCTAAGCTGGGATTATCCACAAAGACGGGAGTGGCGTCTATCGTGAGCAGCAAGAGGCTGGCCACTGTGAGGAGGCTGAGGACGAGGCTGGGACGTGGCATCCTGGATGGGGATGTTGATGTGGCTGCTCTGCTCTTGGCTCTCGGTTCGGAGGATGCTGCTGTGTACGTATAGGTATCTGTATCCGTGTGTTGTGCACCCATCTGCAAAAAGTAAACCACAAGCTTATTAGTTTTCTTCGTTGGGTGAGTCATGTGAAATGTGAAACGTTTTTACGACCTTATTCAAATTGATCACTAAACATATGGGATTTCTACACCCAACCAATGGGTACGGCCAAAAGAGCAACTGCCGAAGTCAGTGGCAGATTCAGAGGGGTTAAACTCTTTGGAGATGATTTTAAAGTATTATAAATAAAGCAATTTATTTCCTCACTTTGATTTGAAAGTGAGCATATCTAGAGTTAAAATAATAATATGCAAGAAAGGTAGTTAACTACTTGATTTCAAGATTTTATACCCTTGCAGTTTGCAATTTGATCATGAAATATATATGATTTATAGGGCCATAAATGACTTTTTTACTGCTTTACAAACTTCTAAGTAATTTTAAAATAACCAACAAGGTTATATTAAAATAACTTAGCTCTATTACCAACAGTTTAAATTACTCTTCCCTGTGATATTACCCAAATTACTTTCAAAAACTTCTTAAGTATAATATTTAAAGCCCCCTCCATTAATATTTTCTGTCTCCGCCTCTGGAAAATGTAGAAGCGGGCGCGGCAGAGGAAGCAGCAAGTGCGTAGAGGCAATACGCCGAAGCCGCTGACTCAAGTAGGTGAAAGTCTGTCTCCGGTGACTTGCATATGCAAAAATGAGGAACCCAATGAAACAAAACAACGCAGTGCGACAGAGACAGGAACACAGAAACAGAAACCGATCGGAGCTAAATTTGCGGCGGCCAAGGCACCCAGGGCGTATGTGTAATATGCCCGAGCGGTGTGTTTGTTTAGTCATGCCTAAAATGCCCCAAATGGAAAGCAAAAGTAGTATGTGCTCATAGAAAGCGACCCGAACGGGAACCATTTAACTGATTGTATAATCTGGTTAGCCAGCGTTTATATAACTGTTCGGAAATGCATTTAACACCGGTCTTCAGCCCATCCCCGACCCAAGTCCAAGTCCAATCCAAATCCGATTCCCATTCCCATGGCTAGTTCTCATCAGGGGGGGTTCAACAGTCGCCTAATTGAGCCGGAGTTCGATCGGGAAAGAAAGTTCGTTGGGAGATGTACAGAAATGATGACATAAACCGGAGCAATCAAAGAAAGCGAACCACAAACGATGATGAGTTGGCTAGAGCTAACTGGACCTGCTCCGGGATCCGATGACAATGCGACTCCGTATCTCACACATGGCCATAACTATGGGGTATGCCATATGCCGCAGGCATCTTGCGGTGACAACACACACAGACGCAGACACCCATTGATCGAGCGTTCTGTTCTGTTTGGTTTGGCTTGGTCTTTCTTTCAGTCACGATTCTGCAGCGTTGAGAAATGAACAAATTAGCCGCGAGTAACTCTCATTGTGTGTTGCGTAATACGGTCGTTGAACTTGGCCAAGACACAGACAGAGAGAGGTAAAGAGAGATACAGAGCAGGAGGAGATGGAGTAGGGAAACTTCGACAGCAGCTTTAATTAGGCCCGAATGCTAAATCCGCATCGCACAGAATCGAGAACGGAAGCCATAAAACATACATATGCATTCAGATTACCTCAATTAGGCGCTAGAACTAAACTGATACCGGCTAATAGCACGGCCAAGCACGATCTCAAGTCCAGTTTCACGATTGTTTGGCTTTTCGCAGCCTCAAAAATGTTGGCCAGCTATTTGTGTATTTGGGTCACGTTCAGGCCATATCGGTATATGCGTATCTGTATAATTGTGTTGGCGTTGCCGCTCTCTGTGTGTGCAAATTAACATGAATTTCTGAGCGATAACCAGAATCTGAATGCGAATGCGAATACACGCCTGGGAAGAAGTGAGATGGGGCCTGATCTGGGTCACAGCCAGCGGATGATTTGCATGATTGCCAGCGAGCATCCCGCCGGGACAGTCCCTCCAGCTGGCTTATGGGCAATTAAGTAATTTCCACTCGCAGATCGCGGCTCGCGGCCACTCGCGACTCGATACAAGTGACAATTCCGTTGGCTCGTTAAAAGTGAAATTACAATTTGTTTTGTTTGTTATTAAAAATACATTTTGTCGGTATTCCGCCAGTATGTGTGTGCTCTTGCCTTTGCCTTGCCCGGCCCTGGGTAAAAAGCGAAAGCCAACGAATTTCTTTGTGGCTTCTTTTAGTATTTACCTAAAAGAAAAGTGAAATGCCAGCAGCAACAGCAACAAGAGCAGCTTGTAATTTCAAATGCTGAACAAAAGAATTATGCCATTTGCCGTGGAGCGGCTGTAGTTCGTCAAAAGAAACCACATACACATCGGACTAAGCGCGTTTCTAGTGTAATCAAATAAGAAGTGCGTCTCGCTTGGCGCTGCTTTCATTTCTGCTTACCAAAAGCGGAGCTTGGAGAAATTTTGTTTGTATTTTTTTCTCTCGTTTTTTTTTTTTGTCGTTATATTATTTTTTCCGTAACGTGTCGTCTACTGGGATGCGGGCTGCCGCCACGGGCCACTGGTTCGGTGGCTACCAGTTCCCTGGTCCAATTTGATTGGTTCGAAACGAAAGACTCAGGGCACAAACTCGATGGGGGCCGGCTAATTGTTTCGGCAGCTGCCACCAATGCAGCAGGTTCATTGCAACCATCAACGGCAATTTCTCAATTGCAAATGCCGAATGCAAATTACAATAATTACTGCCAGCCATTTCATGCCACTCCACGCAGAATCAGCCCGACTCCCAGCCTATCATCCCATCATTATCATCTTCCTGCCAGGAGATCTCTGCCCCGGCAAACCTGTATAAACCAGAGCGGGCCCCAGAACGTAAACGTGAACGTGATTGTGAATGTGAACGTGAAATGCAAATAACGCAAGAGGCATCCTACTGCCAGATCATCTGTGGCCGCAAGCCAAACGGGCTGCGCCCCCCATTCCAAGACCCCACCTCCTCCTCCTCCACTCGCCGCCACTGTCGAGTGCGTTTTAGACCAAAGACAGGCGGACTGGCAGGCCTTTAACAATAAGGAAGAACCTCGTGTGTGGCAGTGACTAAATCGACCGGCTGATACTCAGTTATTTAGGGAAGATTCTCAAGGAGTAATTTACAAGTGAATAAATAAACAACAACATTGGATATCTTCTTCCTATTCAACCTTCTTCTACTTAGGAGATTATTGTGTTAGAAATAATTTAAGACTCTGATTTGTCTCCGATTTAAGGGACGAGTCCTTTTTCTGATTTCATTTCTGGAGTTTAAGAATTAGTTCTTTAAGGGATATTAAGGTTTTCGGCTGTTATCAAACCTAACACTTATTTATTATTTAGATATTATATTTTTTTGAATTTTGTAAAAAATCCAGCAACACTCTTCTCCAGCGCCTGCTTAGTATTCCATCTAACCCCGTATACCCTCGCCTGGGCATTGGCATAACCACTATCAGACCAGTTCTTTAAACCGAAAAGCAAAAATCGTTTGCCAAGGTGCAGCCGCCAGAAGGAGAGCAGGAGAGGCTGAGGATAAGGAGGAGGTGATGGCTGTGGCTGTGGCTGCTGCGGAGGTTGTGGAAGCTGGCGAAGGCAAAGTTCTGCAGCCGCAGAAGCACAAGCAGAAGCGGCAGTCGCAATTGAAACACTTGTACTGAGAGGCTGCCGTTGCCAGCTCTCGTGGCTTTGGCTGGCTGGCTTGTATTTTACAGGAATTTCAATAAAATTTACAGCAGGAGCCGCAGCAGCAGCGACTTTTGCTTTGGACTTGTTTTTGAGCTTTGGCCGTGTTTGCGGCGCTTGAACTTGTTGCTCTTGTTTTGCTGGCGATGCTGCCTGCCGATGCAGTTAGTTGCAGTTATGCGCATCTATCGGCTGCGCATCTGTATCTGTATCTGTGACTTGGTATCTGTATCTCGGCATTCGTATCTCTGGCTGCTTTTGTTGCTGTGGGCATTGTGAGTTGGCGCTTAATTGACTTGTACGCGGTAGAAAGTGCACTAGCACACGCACTTTTTTATTAGCATTGTTTTTTAGATTTGTTCCCCTTTTTTCGGATATTGGCCTCGAGTCTTGGGCTTTGGTTCACTCACTACTTTGGCTCATTTCTCTCAACTATGATTGTTATGATTCCTCTTGCTCAACTTCTGGGCCTGTTCTAAGCTTTGTTTTATGAGTTTCTTCACTTTTGGCTCTTTGGTTTTTTGGTTTTTTGACACTCGTTTCGCTTGCTACCTTTTGTTTTAGGCCAGGCTGCCGAAGACGACGGCGACGACGAAGTAGAAAAAAATCACACAAAGCACTGTTAGCCGGATAATTGCTGGCACTGGGAAAATCTCCGGTCTTTCCCGAGATTCTCTTCCTCGCCTCGGTTTTCTTTTTTGTGTCTCCTTCTTTTTCTTTTGGACGCACTTGAACTTGCCGCGGAGGGACTTTGGGTCAGGCCAATTATATTATTTCACCGACGACACACACGCACGGACGAACACACGCTTGCGCCAGCACACTCACACACACGCGCGCCTGTCTTGGCCAGAAGACGAAGGAGAAGAAGCGGCAGGCAGTGGCAGCAGCAGAAGACCAAGTTAAGAGCGCGACAAGTTGCGCACGTCTGCGGAGTAGCGCTCGCACAAAAGATCCACACACCTGGCTCTGCCTCAGCCGCTGCCGGCTGTCTCTGCCTCTGCTGCAGTCGCTGTCGGCGTTGGCTGAGATTTGGCGACGCCGGCAGAGCTGAAGAACCACAAAGCGAAATTGTTCCACTGAGAAAAAAAGAGCTTCCCTTATAAAATTCTAGATGGGCAGGGGTGTTTTCTTGAGAAGTTTTAATAAGAAGTTTTTCAATATTAAATTTATAATATTTATTTCTTGAATTTATTGTTTTAACTTTATTTATTTCTTAAGTTTTCTTTAGTTATTTAAATAAAAGTTCCAGTACAAATATTTCCCCCAGTGTACCGTTCAGCTTTTCCCCCTCTCGCTCCCACCTGTGCGCTTCTATCCCGGAGCCTGTCAACATGTGCGCATGCGTGCAGTCGACGGCGGCAGCAGCGGCTACGCGCATAACGGTTTACATTAAGGCCAGCAGCGAGAACGGCCAAAAGCTAGGCGCTATTTCTTATTCAAATGAACTTCACACTCCCTCTGGCACACACACTAACACACTCTCTCTGTTGCCTCTCTCTCGCGCTGTGCCTCTCTCTTTTTGGGGCGGCACAGCTGATTGGCGGCAAAAGGTGTTTGGCGGGGTGGTGTGGGGTTGGGCAGGAGGTAGGGGGAATTCGGTTTGGGGTTAACAGCGCTTTCACATTAAAATAGCAAGAAGCAGAAGACAACAGAGAAACAACCGAAGAAACACACACACACACACAGAGATGGACACTCGGTGGCTTTTTCTTTTAATATTTTTGTGGTGCAAATGAGTTTGTTTTTGCTTTGCCATTCTTTGTCACCTGGGCTTCTGAGTGTGTGTTTGTGTGCGGTGTGTGCTCAGGTGTGTGAGTGTGCCGCAGTTTGTTTGTGTTTTAATTTATGCACGTCTTCAGGTTAAGAAAGTCAATCTTTATTATCGCCTGCTTCTGCCTGGGAAGCTCTTCAGCTTACAGCCAAACCTGTTCGCTGATAAGAATTGCATGGAGCCATCTCTCAAGTGATTCCTTGAAAAGATTTTGAATGGTGTGTTCTTTTTGGTAAGTTTACAAACTGTTTTTAAGGGAACATTATTTATTCTTAAATGTTATTAAAGGTTTTAAAAAAAAAAACACTATATTCTTTCTTTCATTATTTCATTAATTTGAATGATTAATATTTCTCTATAAACTTTCTTAATTTGTAAATTTTTTTTAAATATATATATTTTTTTTTTTGTCTTTTTAATTTCAAAATTTCACTTAATTTTCCTTTTTTGGACATATTTAAAAGGTGACCTCTTTTACCAAGTCAGGTTCTTTGTTTTTAGTTTAACAAAAAAATATTTAAAGAGTAGAAATTACCCAGATTCTCAGATCACTTTTAATATTTTCACATAAATGCTCCTTCGTTTTTGTATATATTTCCTCTTCGAACTGCACTTCTTGCCTTAGGCTTTACGCATTTTTCCAAGCTATGTATATTCGACCACAAAACACCGCTCATCAACAGATCATTAAGCTTTATGGAAAACCATTTGGTTGCGAGAACGGAGAGCCCAATTATAAAACACACAGAAAACACACAGGGGAGAAGCCGGAGAGTCCGATGAAAAGACCAGTGTTTAATGGACAAAACGCACAATTAACTATTAACCACTGACTGGCTGGCGATGACGCGTGTCTTCGGCCGTTTCTTGAACTCGGGGGAGACCTTGACACTGACGCTGCTCCACGGCAACTGAAGACTGGAAGTCTCGGCAGCGATGCTTGCCAGCGATTCTTCCCAGATTCTTTTTGGTCAACACTCGGCTCGCAGAAGAATCAGTGGATGCCATGTGTGTGGATCCCAAGAGCGGAATAAATCTCCAGAGAGAGATGGACAGGAGAGAGCGTGAGAGCTCTGATAAGCTTATCTCCTGCGATGATATCTCTTTTCTCAATTCTTAACGATTAAATCGGATCCCTGCTGATGTTGTTTTGGATTCCAGCGGAAGTTGGCTCATTAGAAATTCAGTTCAGGCGCGGCATGTGGCACCTGTTGCACGCTACATGTCTCTCTGCTTTCCTCAAAGAGAGAACTCATTTATCTCAGCGCCCTCAGATATCTGTGTTTATAGTGTGTGTCTATTGTGCATTTGCGGCTGCTGTCTGCCTTTGTTTGCTTTTTATTTGTTGTTTGTTTTACTAGATAAACACAGATTTCAATGCGTTTCGAAAGGTTTATTTGAAAGGCTTGTCATTCCATCAGGCTCGAAAAAGTATGCAATGTTTTTTTTTAACTAGTCAAGATACAAACCACTTTGTGTAAAAATATGCGATGTAAAAATATTAGCGAAAATATACGATTCTCGGATATTTTAACAATAAAATAAATTTTTTTTTTATTGTTCACGAGTTAAAGCATTTAATAGTAAATCTGTTGTCAAAATTGTGTTTAAATTGTCAAGATATTTTTTATGGACTTAAACTAGTTAAGGTTCCTTAAATTACTATTTAATTTGTGAAATAGAATTCTCATAATCGAAGATCCTTTTATAAATGTATTACTCAAATATCTGGAGTTTTGAAATTAAATGACGTCCCAAAAGTCTAGTTTTCTAAAAAAATTAATCAATAAATCAAAAACCCATTGCTTTAATTTTTCATTACTTTTTATTAAAAATTATAAATAAGAATGTATGTAGTAGATGTTAGGTGATCTCAAATGTAGGAATCTTTTCGTCGAGCAGTGTAATAAATATCGAAAACTTAAACCGAATGCTTGGAATGCAATGAGAAACGAACGAGAGGACCGAAAGGATCGACCAAAGTGAGCTGGTTTCGGGGACTTGGGAGATCCCCTGGAGTGGAATAAAGTTAAAATAAATACAATAAATTACACACTAGCAACCCCGAGTCGTAGAGGAATCACATGGCCTGGCTGGGAGCTTCATCTCCAACTCCGCAGCGGACGCACACGACTGCAGAACTCCTCGAGCGGTGACTGCAGTCTTCCGGTTTTGTGGGTCGGTGATGATGATGATGGAGTGGACTACGCCTTGTCGTTGGCCATCACCTTGTTGATCCAGGGCACAAAGCGCTGGATGTTCGTGTAGACGCCGGGCAAGTGCTCCCGCCCGCAACCGATGCCCCAGGACACGAGACCAATTAGCGTCTTACGGCCGTCCATGGTCAGCGTTAGCGGCCCGCCGCTGTCGCCTTGACACGAGTCGCGACCACCCTCCTTGTAGCCGGCGCACAGGAACACCTAAAAGGGGATAAGGTGTCAATATCTTGGATACAAAATAATCTTCCTGGAACACTCACATCATGAATGGCCTCTCGCCGACCCGCCGCACGAAACCAGCGCTGGCAGCGATCGTTGGAGATCACCTCCACGTCCACCTCCTGCAGCACTGAGGGTACAGTGCTCTGGCCATGGCGTGTTCGTCCCCAGCCAGCCACGGTGGCCATCTTGCCAGTAAGCTTGGTAGCTGGCGGCGGCAGACACACGGGAATAATGTGCTGCTTGTAGACCACATTCCTGTCCAGACGTATCAAAGCCACATCGTTCTTAAAGTCAGCGGGATTGTAGTGGGGATGCACCTCCTTGCGCTCGATGCCGTACTCTTCGTGGTTAAGTCGCTCCTCCTGCGCCCGGACATCCCATTCGCCCAGGCGAATCTTCATATTGGAATTGGTGGTGCTGGCAGGGCATGAAAAGTTCTTATTTAATTTAGAAATTTTTGTATTACAAAGGATACTTACGTGGCCACACAATGGGCAGCTGTGACAACCCATCTATTAGAGATCAAGGCACCGCCGCAGCTGAGCTTTCGGGTGAGGAAACCCGACTTGATTAGAGCCACCTGCCAGGGATGCGACCCAAAACCAGTGGAGTGCCCGCCCACGATGCGATTGGATCGAGTGTAGACCTCGCCGCAGCCTGGGAATGAGAAAAATTTGAAGAAGGAAAGTCATTAAAATGGGAACCCAACATATATCCCTAAAATTAGATACAGAAAGAGCTAGAGAATCCAAGAAAAATCCAAGTGATTTGTGACAGTGTAAGTGAGAGAGGTGCAGCTAAGAGAAAAGACAGTTGCAGTGGTGCCACAGAGAGGATAGAGAGAGTGTGAGATTGCTTTGTACCCGGCACTGGACGATAGCTGGCATCGTGGTAGCCACTCTGGTACTCATCAGCCGCCTCGCCGGCATTCAGGTCCAGGACATTGCCCACCGCGAAGGCCTGGGCATTGGGTAGCGGCTCATGGGGCGGTGGCCCCGATCCCACTCCGGCTGAATCCAACGGCGGCGGGGCATCTGCATCGAAGAAGCTATCCAGGTGATTGGTGATCCCGTTGATGGGATGGCCGCCTGATTCGTGCTCCCAGCTATTAAGGTTGGAAGCTGTTGCTGACGAGGGTCGACTGGAGGATCCTGGCTTGTAAGGATTGGAGCCACTGTACAATGTCGGTCGTTTGGTGCTGTAGTGACCGTAGCTGGGATAAGCCGGCCGTGCTGAGGAGGAAGCGGTTGATGTGGTGGATGAGGCCGCTGACAGGCCGTTGCCACTGTGGTGGTGCAGGTGGTGCTGCGGCTTGTTTGCATTCATCGACAGGTCGGGATAAATGTCATGCAAGTGTATTATATCACCTGTGTGTGAGAATCGGGATTCAGGATAATGCCAGCCACTGACCAGCAAGGACAAGTATCTCCTTTTTGGGGTAAGTAATTTCCTAACTTAAATGTAACTTGAGAGAAAAGCTATTCGGTTTAGTAATATCTTTGTTCCTTAAATAACACAGGAACACAAAATTAAACTTTGTGAAATTTCCACGAACCATTTCAAGTTTTCCATGATATTTGGGTTCTCCTGAGTAAAAGTCCCATACAAAATTATTTTCCATCACCTACAGGTTCCGCGGTATACCTAAGAATACAAAAAACCTATGTATGCCGACATTTTGAATTACGTGGCCTATATAATTGGACTTACCTTTATTATTTTTGGTAGGACCTACTCTCAATACATCACGGCACTACTAAAAAATAGTCCCAATCGTGAACCATTGCCCATGTCTTTGGAATTCGACGCCAAAGTTGAAACTCCCCAAAATTTTCAACATTTCTGTGATGAAAAAACAATTCTGAGAATTAAATCTTATATGGAACTAATTTTAAATATTTATTGAATCTATTGTTCATTGTATTCTTTAATTTCGGTTTAAAGCGTTTTCATGAGGACATTTTATTGGATTTATTAAACGAATAAAACAGCTTTTTTGGTTTTATTATCTACTCCTATTTGCTGTCAAATTTTAAATAAGTCAAGGCAACCTATAAAATAGTAGTAGATATGTTTTCTTTTTATATATAATATACATTTTTTCTTTTTGACTAAACTTAAATATGTAAGGATTATCGCTGGCTATTAAGCTGTCTTAAAAATGTTATGTTCGGAAGACCTTTTTATTTAATATAAAACTAAATTTATATTATATATAAAAAGAAACATATCTACTACTATTTTATAGGTTGCCTTGACTTATTTGAATTTTGACAGAAAATAGTAGTAGATAATAAAACCAAAAAAGCTGTTTTATTCGTTTAATAAATCCAATAAAATGTCCTCATGAAAACGCTTTAAACCGAAATTAAAGAATACAATGAACAATAGATTCAATAAATATTTAAAATTAGTTCCATATAAGATTTAATTCTCAGAATTGTTTTTTCATCACAGAAATGTTGAAAATTTTGGGAGTTTCAACTTTGGCGTCGAATTCCAAAGACATGGGCAATGGTCCACGATTGGGACTATTTTTTAGTAGTGCCGTGATGTATTGAGAGTAGGTCCCACCAAAAATAATAAAGGTAAGTCCAATTATATAGGCCACGTAATTCAAAATGTCGGCATACATAGGTTTTTTGTATTCTTAGGTATACCGCGGAACCTGTAGGTGATGGAAAATATTTTTGTATGGGACTTTTACTCAGGAGAACCCAAATATCATGGAAAACTTGAAATGGTTCGTGGAAATTTTTGGCTGTGTACCTGTGTAATCGGATTTCCTTAAAATGTATTCAATATTTTCTTGATTCTTTTATCCTTTTTTAATTTTGCCTCATGCTTCCTTTTGTGGCTATCATCCTATTGTGAAATAGTCTGTTGACAGCTCAGAGGTCACTTTCCGAGCCGCTGTCAGACTTTCCCCTAACTAAACCAACTGGTAGTCATAACAAATAAAAAGAAAAAGACCCCCAGACACGACTCCAGTTATGTCAGCAGAAGATGGACAGCGGCCAGTTGGGGCATTAAGACACAAGCCGGAGACACTTTGGCCGGCCGACCGATTCGCACGTAATTCAAACCAATCCAAAAGCCATTTCGGGGGAGACACAGAACGGCGTCATGACTTGATTAACACTTTCGGGGGCTGCGACTATGCCGTAACTCTCTGGCTCTGTGATTTTTCCCACATTTGAAAGCAAACAAAATAATAAAAGCACACCACCACCATAGGGCTCAAACGGATTGAAACAAAGAAAGAAAACCGAAAATTTCACTTTTAAATGCGAAAACGTTCACCTTCGTTTATTTCCGCAAGTGAGTTTTGCTTATTTCGGGTTTGTCTTGGGTTTTATTTTTTTTTATTTTTTGGCTTTATCATTGTCGCCAGGCGTCTTGGGAAAACTTTACACACGACTACCAGCTGGTAACTGGCAAGCGGGCAAAGAAAGCCCACAGAACCCGCTTCTTAATGGGCTTCAAGGAAATGGTTAGCCCAAATCGGGGGGAAAAAACTCTCAAAATTAAGTTGAATTGCGGTAAAAGAAAAGGTTGCCAGAGTCAGAGATTGATGTGCGTTCAAGTTTGGGGGGGAGAGAGAGAGAGAGACAGGCGGGATGGAAAACGAAAAATTTTCCACTAAGAATTATTCATAACATGTTGTAATGCATTGTTATTGTTCAGGTTGCTTTTATGCCTTTGCTACTTGTAACATGGCCCCTCGAAAAGAAGGCAGAAATCTAGAAAATTAAACAGAGCACAACAAAATAGCTGCGGAACAGCTGAAGAGGGAAAACCCAAAACAGAAAAACACAAAAAATATAACAAACTCGGCAACTAAATAAACTCAGTTGGCCAAACTGATGCGTGTGTGGCATAATATATAGTAAGTGGCTTATGCCTCTTCTCCTAGGTATATATTCTTGCTGCAAATATTGCCAAAATTGGTAATTGATCACGATTACGTTATAGACAATGCACTTGATGGCCAGCCAATTGATTCAAAAAACAAGCTAAGACTGCTGAAACCGCAAGGAATGTGAACGTACAAGTTTTGGTAGAATTTACCAAGGAAAACTATATTGATTATAAAGGATTATTAATTAAAACCCAACCGAAATACATGCGTATGACCGATTTTCATCCTGAAGCTTATTATAGATTGTACAGTAAAGTTTTATTCTAAAATATTTTTGCAAATGTGTGGAATTTCTATTTTTCACAGCATTTCTGATCATTATTACTCTATCATTGTCATTCATATTATATTTGAATAACTTCTTAAGCATATGTTTATATTTTCAAATAAATTTTTTGAAACGAATATATGGATAATGTTTCAAAGAAAATACCTAATTTACTTTAAATCTTTGTTGGTTTATTTAATTACCTAAAAAAGAAGCTGCATCTAAATATATTCAAATTAAACATAGCATTATCATTTCCAAACATTGTCAAATGAAAACAATCAGCAATACATTAATTTATAAAGATTTATCTTTGCTCCTTGAAAAGGTATTTATATATATGTATTTATACCCTTGTAGGTATTAGGTACCAGTCATTTCTATGGCTGAACTTATACTGAAACTTACTTTACAATAAAAATACTTTAAATAAACATAATTTAAAATTCTGCCTTCTCACACAATAGCAACTCCAAGGGTATGCAAACTACGGCTTCCCCACGTTATTTTCCTTTCTATATTTAAGTTTTACAAATTCTAAACTTTCTTAGAAGGAGTTAAGTAGTTTTTGAAGTATTTAATTGCTTTACTTATTATCTCAAAAAATTCCAAAATCCTTGAAAAAACTTAGATATAAAACTAATTTTCCCTTCGGGATAACTCCTTCTTTCCACAATCTTTAGTTGTCTTTCTCTGTACTTTGCCCAAGCCCATGTCTGTGTGCTTGTGTGCATAGAGCAATTTGTTGTCATTTTCGAAATGCAAGCTAATTTATTGCTCTATTATACGAATCCAAGTTGCATAACTCGAAGCGCAGCAATTTGCGACTCGGAGGGTATTGAGCGGGAAAAGCAGGAGACGGCGAAATGTCTTTCAGAATAAACTATTCGCCTGGTTTTTTCGGGTTCAGGGGAGGGGTTGAAGCGATACTCACTCGTGTTGTTGACCGGAGCTGCATGCGGACTCTCCTCCGCATCGAGATCTTTGTCCACGCAACACGACCAGATCATGCCGCCGGAGCAGAGATCCAGCGGCTTGCCGCCGCCCAAGACACATGAGATGGACAGGCCGCACTCGAACTTGTGGCCACGAAAGCGGCACGATTGCGGTATCACTGCAAAGACAGAGATTAGTCTGGAGCTTGGGGAAAAACAGAGGGGGAGGAAAATGGGAATCTCAAAAGGGGTTGGGGTCTGAGTCGAGTCAAATTGGTCGAAGGAACTAAGTAGTACTTCGGGAAAGCATCTCCATCACGCTGTTCTCGCCATAGTATCCAGTGCCACTGCGTCGCGACAGGGCGTCCAGGATGAGCATGTCGTGCTCCTGCTGGGCACTGGGATAGCCCAGGCCATGAACTTCTATCGTAACCAATAATCCAAACCACACCAGCCGCAGCCAGGTGTCCTTGGAGTGCCTTGGCAGCGACATGGCCAGCCAACTGCAGAGAGGACTTTCAAGCGGACTTTCACTTTCCACGGGGTAGTTGCACTTTCGCTTTCGGACTTATGACAGCTTGTTGTTTGGCCGCCGTCACTGCAAGTGGATCTGGCCGAGATGCAGTCCTGCCACTGATTCACAAGGATTTCACTTTTATTTTCATTGGCCTACGGTTCACGCATGCGCAGCTCTGGCTCCGAAAAAAGAAAATCTTCACTTTTGCGCTGCTTCTGAATTATCTTTCTTTACGCATGCGCACACACACCCGAGCTGCCGGAGCTGACGAGCTGTCGAGGGAGCGAGTAAATAAAAAAGCGACCGCGCGTCGGGAAAATCGGCTCAGAACTAAGCCAAGCTCTTGCGGCCGCAAAGCCAACGAGCCGAGAGCTGGCAGCTGGGAGCCGAGCCGACGCGAAAGATCGGGCCGCCGCATTTAGTCATTTCACTAGCGGAGCAACTCCAAAAGAGAGGCGTTGTTGCCAAGACGTGTTACCAATGAAAAATGTTACCAAGACTTGTTACCAAGCAATGTTGCCAAGACGTTTGCGGCTAGCTACATGTTGCTGCGGGCCATCGATTTGCTCGACTTCAATTGGACTTTGTTTTTTTATTTTGTTTGTCGTTTGATTTTTTTTTTTTTGGCCAAGGTTTTTGCTTACATAAAAGGCCAGGCCAAATAATCTATAATCTTTTGGGGAAAATGGCCGACTCACGGCGACGCTGTTGCGGTTAACACTTTCCAATGCTGGTTGCGAGTGTGCAATTGAAGTTAATTGCAGTTGATTTTCCTGTCTGTCTGTGTGTATCTGTATCTGGAAACACTTTTGCTTTTCTCATACTCGTATTACATATATCCGCTGCCATTGAACTTGTGCAGCCAGTGATTCGGCCCGCCAATCCGCCTTCATTCGACGGCGATTGTTGCTCGGATTTATCATATATATTTCGGCGGGCCGACTGGCTGGCCAACAGCTCGCTGGTCATTTACAGAAACATTCGGCAGAAATACGGGGCTTTCTTTATGACCCGGCCCTGAGATGAGATAAATCTGTATGTTGATGTGTAATCACCTTTTAGCCGCGGCTAATTGGTTTTCGTGTCTCTTTCTCTTGGAAAGTCCCAATTAAGCGCAAGACGAATGAAGGGCGCCCCAAGAACACCCAAACTTTCGCTTGCGAAAGGGAAGGAGAAACTCTTCCAGGTTGTCTTTTTTTCCACTTTGGGAAATTGAGTGTACGAACTTGACACCCAATCGATGGGCGGCAGCCAGCGAAGATCAAGGTTAAGCATGGCGTGTTAACTAATATGCAAATTGTGCAAGGCGAAACGAAAGACTTAGGCAACGAACTCGATTTGACTCGACTGCAGTCGCAGGGTAGGGAGGGTATGGACGGGTAGGGGAGGCTGATTACTCACAGTCCAGCTCATCGAAGAACTTGGCCTCCTTGGGCAGCTCCTTATCAATGGCCTGCTTCAGCTCAGGCGTGATCACCTCGTTGTAAACCGAATTGTAATTGCTATGGGCAGCGGTGGCAACGGTGGCAACTGTTGCAAGCAACATGAGCAGTTGCCGCGCTGCTGCCAGTGCTGGATTTCGCATTTTGCAATACTTTCGTCGTCGTTGCTGCTGCTGCTGCTGCTGTTGTTGTGTTTACACTCGGCGGCTGCTGTCACTGTGATTTCTGCAACTGTGCTTCACTTAATTCACGTAGCGGCGCGAGTTTTTGATTGAATAATCGCACCTCGTTTGCATAGCAGGCCGACCCAGTTAAAATATATTAAATTCACAATTTTCTCCACTCTCTGTCGCCTGTGTCTTTTTCTTTGGCAATATTTCTCAGAGTATCTTTAATATTTTACACTTTGGTCTCGGTTTCGGTCTCTTCTTTTCCCGTTTTTTGTTTTCCTTATAGTCTGCTGCCAAATGCAGCCGCTGTTCGCGAACAGTTTGCCGCCGCGTCGAAACACTTAATAAACAGTTGGCGGTCGGCTGACAAATTCAAAATCAAAATGCCATCAACACACGGCGACTTGGTTGGTGAGCCCGGAGCGGAGTGCGCGACTATTGAGTAATAGTCACCAAAGAGCGCAGACAGAGACGGCCACAGAGGAGGAGGAAAGGTGGGGGGAGGGGGAGGGGCAGGCAGAGAGAGCGAAAGAGACGCGGGCACTGAAAACGAAAGTGAAAAGAAGAAGAGTGGCCAAGGCAACGAGTTTTGTCGCTCAACAGGCAATTGCATGTTGCTGCTGCCGCTGCTGCCGCGGCTGCTGCTGCGGGCCAAGTTTACACAGTTTATGCTATGAATTTCATGAATTTAAGAGTTTAAGAAATGAATAAAAAACCCATTAATTTATAAAATTAATATTTAAAATCCTTAATTTGTGAGATTTATTTCACCTTAGCAGCCTCCTAAAACCTATCACAGATTCCAGATTTCTTTAGTAAAACGTAATTTTGTGCTGACTAAAGCTATTATTTCCCGAATTCATGTATTTTAGAAATCAAAAGAGTCGCCTCAATTTTCATTTAAAAATAAAATAAGATACTTAAATTAAGCAGATTTTAGTCTCTGCTTTTGTCCATCGTTGCTCCCTAAAATTTTTAAATATTTTAGAAAAAAAAGCTTGACATTATTTGATTTAAAAAATGGTATTTAAGGGAATATTTTTGTACATAAATTAAATGCAATACAAGTTGTTTCAAATAAGTTATTAAAATCTGTTCTAAATCCTTGGCTATACATACAGGTTTAGGCTGTAGAACAGAAATCACAAGATTTTAAGTACTTTTAAATGTTACATGAGTTTTGTTGAGTAATAATCTCTAATTATATCGAAAATAATATGAACTGAAAAACGATGGTCGTATCAATTTATTAAAATAGTTATAAACCCTAAAGAAGTTAAAATTTTATATCTCTGTTTCCTTTTCTATCTCATTTTCTTTTTATATATTTATTTCCCAACCGATAAATCTACCTGAAAAAAAAACAGTTTTATCTCCACGACTTTTTCACGCATAAACCGCGTAATTGCCACCATGACTAATCTGCAATTTCTTTGCCTCTCTCCCTTAACAAACATAAACAGCGAAACAAAGAGGAAGTCGCGTTTTCCCTCACACAAATTGGTGTTTTAGCAAAACCAACAATTGCCGTACAAATTGCAGCAGGAAAACGCCATCGGGTTTCATCCCAAGCGTGGCATTTGCGCGAACGAGAAGAGAAGTTTTCCACTTAACCAGCCAATTGCTAGTCAATAATTATTGGCCACAACCATGGTTATCAATGACACACATTTCCGATTTCAATGCCACCGGACAGAGGCCTATACTTTGTAATATATAAAGTACTTTGTTGCTGAAGTGCAGCAATAGCAATCCCCGACAGAAATTGCACTGCGCAACCAATTGGGCAACCAGGTTTCGGCCGGGTATAATGTGCCTAATGTACAAATTACCGCCAGCAGTTAGGGATTGTGCCATTTGTGGCACTCCACCAAATAGGCCAGCGGCAGTGACATAACCCAGCTAAAACAAGGCGCCCGATTGTCTTTGGGCCGCTTGCTTTTCACTTTTTTTGCGGCAGCGGGTGGCGTTTCAAGGTCGCTCCCCCCAAAAGCCCAAGCCCACTGCACAATTAGCTAATTGTAATTGTTATGTTTATTAAATCTAATAAATATTGTGTATTTTGTGGCGGATTGCACATTTCCATTGCCTAATAATGCTACGAGCCGTAAACTAATGAGATGGGTTGCATTTCGAGATGGTTGGGAGTCCGGGGGAACATATCAGCTACGACTCATTGCGCGCCACCACGTCCTGTATCCACCTCACAGTCTTCTGAACGTTGTGGTAGATGCCTGTCAAGAAATACTGACTTAGGTTCTGGGGGAATGGAAAACTTATTAGTTATCTTACCTGGCTGATGATCTACTCCGCAGCCAAAGCCGGCACTGGTTATGCCCACCAGCACAAAGCGTCCACGCTCCTTGACCACCAGTGGTCCACCGGAATCGCCTGGTAGGGATAGAGTTTAGTAAGTTAATAATTATTAATGGTTACGGAACAATAAAAGATAAGATAATATGCGTTTAACCAGTTGCACATTAAAATAACAGCCAACTTTGTAAGTCTTAAGCCTAAAAGTATGCCTTGTTGGGTTAACTTTTTTTTGTTGGCAACAGCTTAAGGTTAATTAAGTAAACTTTGACTTTTGTAAGAAAAACTTAAAATTTCTCTATGATTTTAAATTTCTTCAGCTAAAAACCAGATAGTTAATAGGATACGAAAATAGGTTATTAAAGTAAATATATATAAACTGCATGTAGGGTAGTTTCCTAAATCTCCCAAACTCTAATAACGTTCTTAGTCAACATCAAAGAAGTATATTTTATACTCACCCAGGCAGGCATCCATGTGGCCATCGGAGTGGCCGGCACAGAACATCTCCGCCTTGATCTCCACATTGATCTGCTTGCTCTCGTGCCAGCGAATGCAGTCCAGGGTGGCTGTAATCTAGAGTAGTGAATTCTAGGCGCAAACTTAATCACGAAAACTCACTTATGATGGGGACACTGGCCACTTGCAGCATATTGGTGCCCGCATGGCCCATATGGGCCTCTGTCTTACCCCAACCAGCAATCAGTCCCTTGCGTCCGATCAACCGGATGGGATACTGCGGCAGGCAGATGGGCAGGATGTGCTCCGTGAAGGCCGTCGGCTGGGCCAACTTCAGCAGGGCCAGGTCATAACGGTCCGGCTGTGTCATGCGGAAGTTGAAGCGCGGATGAATGATCTTCTGCAGCACACTATGCTTCTCCACGGGCAGCGGCTCGTGAATGTGGCCCAGATCCTGGGTGTCCAGTTCGCCCAGGTAGACAGTAATGTCCGTTAATTGTGCCTGCTGGATGCAGTGAGCGGCGGTGGCTACCATATTGGCCGAGATTAGCACTCCGCCGCACTGGTACTCGGCGATCCGGATGTGGGCCTGCCACGGATACTCGGCAAACTGGGCCGGGCGACCGCCAATGATGCGCTTCTGCAGGGTATTCTGAGCCGTTCTTGGCACACCGCACTCGGGCTGGAATTGATAGAGTTTTTTCTTAGTTTTTTGGGTATAGAAAAGGAAGAACCAGTTGGACCGAGCTGAGAATCTAAATTCCCTGGTGGCACCTTCTAGTCCTAGGCAATTTTCCAATTAAATTAGAACCTAGAACCTGTGGAATGGCTCAATTAGGCTCCACTTACCTTGAGATTCAGCAACTCGTTATCGTCGCGCCGGCGCAGCATGATGCGTTTGGGCAGACCGTTCAGGTTGAGATTCAGCTTCAGCTTGCCGTAGTCGACGAGATTTGCCAGCGGTGAGGATGATTGCTGCTGGCTCTGGTGGTGCAGCAGGTGCTGGTGATGGGGCTCGGCCACGCAGCAGCTGAAGAGCCACTTGTTGCTGCCACAGCCCTTGGCATGCTTGCCGCCTTGTAGCCAGCAGGAAAAGCTCAGTTTGCAGGGCCAGACGCCGCTCTGGTGGACGCACTCCGCCGGCACGCCCAGCAGAGTGTTTAGGATGTCTAAGGAGAGTCTCAAGATTGGTTAATAGTTAATTATATTATATAAATACTACTCACTTGCTTGACTTTGGCTGAGATGGCAGAAGATCAGGAGGATTATAAACAACCAAAAAACCAACTGCATCTTGAAGTAACTTGCTCTTTTTCGGGGTCACAATTTGCACGGAGGATCACTTCAAAACGCCCATCGAAATGGGCTAAATATCGCTGGCGCTTTTGTTGCCAATGAAAGCATGACAGTTTCTTATTCACTTTTTAAGCTGGCCCGGCTCTTTTCTTCTTACATTTCCTATTATTGCTCTGCTCCACTTTTACTAGAAGCCGCCGCAGTTTATGGGCCTGTCTGGTCGAGATGACTCACCACCACCACCACCAGAACGGCCGCCAGTGAAAGAGATCTGTGTCCTTGATAGGCGAACGAGTTCTGGGGGTCGCTGGCAAATGGATCGGCTAATGGATTTTTATATAACAATCATAATGGGAACTGTGCCAGCGGGAACTGCCAGAGAAATGGCACAGTTTTGAGTCAGTTTTCCCGTGTTTCACACATTTTCAATGGAGAAGCGAGAACAATGGAGAACCGAGACCGAGAAGTTCTTCTGCTGGAGAAGATGCAAGCTGGTAGATGGTAAAAGTTGGAGACAACCGCACGCGCCGCTGGCCAAGCACAAACTAACATCACGCAGCAACAGGTTGATCTTGGTTCTTGTTTGGGTTCGGGTTTTGGGTTCGCTCTCCAGCAGCTGCTTCTTCTGCTGCTGCTGCGACTCTGATGATGATCTTCCTCATCTTCACTAATTATTACGAAATGCTGATGACGCCGCCAGCGGCGCAGGAAATGTTCTTCACCCAGTCTGTTATAATTATTTTATGCGACATAATTGCAACAACCGGTGGCATCTGGCCGCGGAATGGGAACAGTTCTTCTCTCTTTTTGGGTTAGGCCATAACAGCCATCCGTCCGCACAAAGGAGAACCAACACTTTTCGAAATGGGGGCCACACATTTATTTATGTAACTTTCTAATTTGTCGCCGGCTGGGCGGACTTCGAGGTGGGATTAGCATATTAAGCAGGGTTACTAAATTCCACTCATTCAGGTCTTGGTGGGTAAAAGTGAGAACTAATTAGTGACACTTTGCGATAAGAGATATTCTATTGATTGGCAAGACTAATCCGACGGATATTAACATGCTTACATTAAGACTCTCTTCTGGAACAAGTTTTGCTTTGTAATATCTCATTGGCAGTAGAATTTCACGAGATCCAAGCAATCTCTGATCTCTGTCCCCAAGTGTCACCCAGTTACTAGACTCTCTTCCCTCATTACATTGTTGTTTCCAACCGAGAACACAACACAGACAGCAAACACCCGAAAAAACTCGGAACCTAACCACCGGCAGAGCCCGGCAAGTCGTACGTTAAGTTGACTCCCAACGAACGGTGATGGGACCCCGCGATGCACCACGTCCGCGCCCGGTCGCCTTGGCAATGACCTCTGGCATCTCGTACATACAATGCCAGAATCTCAAGTACAATGTCATTATCATGGGCTGGCTGGGTGTGATCTTCTCGAGCGTTGTCCTCTTCAGCTCTGCACTAACCATGCACCTGCAGCCGGACATCGAGCTGCTGTTCGCACAATGGCCTTTCAATCAGGTCCCGGTGTCGGAGCAGCAACTAACGATCAAGTGTAAGTTGGACAGTAGAACTAGGACTAGATTTACATCCTTGTCGCACATAGTGTTGGATATCTTTGGCTCCTTGGCGTACTGGCTGTCGTTGATCAATATGGGCGTCAGTCTGCTGATGCTCATTGGTGTCGCCCGGGTAAGGGAAGGGGATTCTTTAAGGATCTTCTAAAACCAACTAATATCCTCTATAATCATTTTTCCAAGGACTCAAGTTGCCTAATGTATCCCTGGTTGATCTGTCATGGCGTTAGTTTTGGCTTTGCTCTATATTTGTGTATTTTCTATGCGACCGCAGGCTTGTTTATTGACCTTTCTACCTTTTTAATGTGTCTATTGGTGTTTACACTCGTTTTGGGTGAGCCACAAGAATATATATTAATTTCAACTATTTTTATAGCCTCCTTCAAACAGTAATTTACTACAAGATTTACCACGAGGTTTTCACCCTATTCCGTGTAATGGAGCAGCAGCTGAAGGACAGGGCTTTGTGCGAGGGTAGGAGTGTCTTCTACCAGGATGCCGAAAGTGCGTGGCCCTCGTCCGGGGTTCCCTATCAGCAGCTCTATCTGCCGCGTCTGCCACTAAAACAGTAACTAAATCCCCGACAGAGAAGACGTACCATACGAGCTACAACAAAGAATGGCTTCTTAAATTTTTCAAGACGTTTGTTTGGTTAATAAACGTTCTTCGACGTGTTCATTTCAACATTTTTCATATAATTTATTTACACACGAAATATGTAGTTCATAAATAGTTTTTAAAATTACATAACAGCGCATATGACTAAGTAAATTAGACCGTAATTATCAGTTAAATTTAATTTAAGGCTTTTAGTTTAGGGTTTTTCAGTTTTTCCTTTTGCAATAATATCGCACACGTGCACGTCTTGCAGACGCACACAGCCAGTCCTAAACGCTAAATTGTACTGCGCTAATTTGTTCAATTACATTATTATTTATATATATATATATATAGAGATGTCTCTGGTCGGGTGAAACCATAAATTAAGTCGGCGCTGAGTTCCGAATCAGAAGCAGAATGAAGTGAGTTATGTACAAAACAATCTGTGGCCCACTTAGCAGGCAGGTGCGAATGCTGATGGATGAGAATAAATAAGCCATTCCGTTCCGTTACGTTCCTGTCCGGTTCCTTGCCTAAATGTTCATCGTCAGTCCAACGACGTAGGACACCCAGTCGACGGTCTTGCTCACGCTGTGGTAGATGCCGGGCTGGCCTCGAGAGGCGCATGAGTAGCCGGCAGAAACCACACCTGGAGGAGAGCGAAATAGGAGATATTATAAGATATAAAGGATAAAAGGCTCCCTCATTAGTAACTCTCACCTATCAAGTACCAGCGCCCATTCTTGTCGTGCATCAGCGGTCCTCCCGAATCTCCCTGACACGAGTCCTTGCCACCATTGCGATAACCTGCGCACAGCATCTCCTGGTAGATGACCACATTGATGCCGTTCTGCCGGTGCCAGCGCTCGCATATCCTGTTCTCAATCACCGGCACATCCACGGCCTGCAGTGTCTTGGGACGCAGCCGAGAGCCCGGATTCAAAGCTCCCCAGCCGGCGGCCCAGCCGAACTTGCCTAGAAAGTCCTCGTTCTTCTCCGGCAGGCAGATGGGAGCTATACATATATATGAAGGATTATTATTAAGGCATTATTATGTTTCCCAAAGGAAAACCCACCTATGTGTGGCATAAAGTGCACGGTACGTTCCAGCGTCAGCACTGAGATGTCAAAGCGATCCGCCTGCGGCGTAAACTTGAAGTAGGGATGCACATCGATTCGCCGGACGCCAAAGGTGTAGGCGGGCAGCGGTTCCACGGCCGAGTTGATCACATAGTCGCCCAGGGTGACGTGCACCTGGCGGGGAGTGGCCCGGGCCACACAGTGACCGGCGGTGACCACATGGCGCCGCGAGATCAACGAACCACCGCACCTGGAAAGGCAAAAGAGTGAGTCCAGAGAGCCACAGCTAACTCCACAAGGTGGCACTCACCTGGAAGAGCCAATGCGGATGTAGGCCTGCCAGGGGAAAGAGCCAAAGCCGGCATCATCGCCGCCCACAATGCGCCGCTGGGCAGTCTGTTTGGCCAGCGAGATGCCGCAGCCTGTAAGAACAGCAAGATAAGGGCTTTAGTTTAGGATAAATTCCATTGGGCACTGGCCACTTGGCTTCTGGGGGGGGAGGAAGGAATTTCTGGGTTTTGGATTGGATTAGTGAAGCATTAACAACGGGGTGACCACACAAAGCAAGCGATTAGGCAAACAAGCAGCCGCCGCCGGGTTGAACTCAGCTTTCTAGTCTCTGGTCTGGCTGTCGGTCTCGGTTTTCGTCTCGGGTCTAGTCTGGGTGGGATTGGGATGGGATTTTGGGGTCGGAGTCAGAGTCGGAGTTGGTGTTGGGGTCTCTGGCGGGTCCAGTCCATCGTGTTGGACATGGACCGTAATGCCGTTAAGCTATGTGTAATATATGGCTTAATTATCATTAGCGTGCTGTGGTAATTAACATGCTCATGCCGGGCAATTAAACCTATATATATATATATATGTACAAATATATATGTTTCTCCTTTTATTTCTTGCAGCCTTTCTTTCCAGTCTCGCCTCCTTCGCGGGTGGTTTAGTAGCGTGCGTTATAGGCATCCATACACATCTCTCCGTCCCAGTCTATATATCCAAATAGCTGTCTTAATTAGGCACTGAAAACTACCCAAGAGTGTAACAATAACAAATGCGAATTACGAGTGCATAACTACATAACATAACAACAACTATAAAACAATAAAAGAAGTCGAAAACAAAACGAACTACAAACTATACGTAAATTGGTTAGAGGGGTGGCATGCAAATTATTTCTCAACTATTTCGTTGAACTGTTTGTTGTTTTTATTTTTACTTAAAAATATTTCCATATATATATTTTTTTTTTTAGTTTAGTGTGCACGTGCTTGGAGTTGTTTGTTTTTTTGGTTTTTGGAATTTGTTTTGGTATTTGGCTTGCATTCGAGCTGAGGCTGCCACACTCACTGGGTTCGTTGTTGACCGGTCCAAAGTTCTTTTGCGGCAGATCGGTCAGATCTACGGCATTGCCGACGAAGTCCGAGCTGCCCAGATTGGCCGACTTGGCCGTCCGGTGGCAACAGCCCCGCAGGAGTCCGTCGCAGGTGCCCTGAATGAGGCCGCCGGAGAGCCAGCAGCCCAGAAAGAACTCGCAGGTGCCGCCGCGATGCTGGCACTCCGTGTCCGTTGTGATGTCGACTGTCGGAATGGTGGGGGAGTTGAAACGAGTTGCAATCTGGGGGTTCTGTGTGTGTGTGTTTTTGGGTTGTGGCGTTGTGGCGTTGTGGCTATCGAGGATTATCTGCGTTCTGGTTTCTGGGGGTTACGTGGCCTAGTGCAAGCAGTGTCCCAGCGGCTGGCTGAAGCCCCTTCCTAAGCCCTATCAAATGCGGGGACCAGGGATCGGGTGCGGATAGATCGTAGGATCGGAGGCACTTACCTTTCTCCTTGAACGTGCTCGCCGACTGTGGACTGCTGGTGGCCTCCGAGGCGCTGTCCAAATCCTGCAGGCTGTAGTCATTGCGCACATCCTGCACGGCGGAAAGTTCATTGATGCCAAAGTTCTGGTCCCTGTTTGTGGAAATTTCAATATAAATTAATAAATATATTTTCATAATTTAAAATTAAAATGAAAACACACACCTGAAAGCTATATTGTCACTGAAGTAGACTCCATTGCCGGAGGGTCCGCTGGCGCCTGCTGGTCCACTGGGTCCGGTGGTGCCCACATTGTCGTTGGCGGGAAAGACCACCCGTGGACTGCGCGAGGACTTGTACGGATAATAGCGACTCTTCCGCGATCCCTGGTACTCGCCGGGGGCCACGTACTCCTGGAAGTTCTTCTGTGGTCCAAACTGGCGTATTGGAGAAGGCGGTCCCGTCCGAAATTCCGTGTCGCCAAAGTAGAAACCGCGCTGCGGCCTCTGCTGGGGCAGGGCTGTGATCGGTCCATTGATATCACCAAACTTGGTCACGTCATCACGATAGATCTTGAGGCCATGGGGCTTGGAGTTGCTCACTAAACCGGGGAACTCGAAGCTGGAGGAGGAGGCAGTGTCCGTGTCAAAGTACAGCTGGCGAGTGTGTCGCGTCTCATGCTGCTCGTACTGTGTGGGAGGTGGACCAGCATCTTCGCTGTAAGGCTGTGGCTCATAGCCGCCGCTACTTCCGGCCTCTCCGAAGATGGGATTATCCTCGCGATAGGCCTGCGGGTGGAAGGGACTGGCCGGCTTCAGGCTGTAGCTGGGAAACTGAAAGCCCACCCGGCGACTGGTGTTCTCCTGGGGCTCTGCGTACTCCAGCTTATCCGTGGAGCTAGCCGAGGCCAGAAGATCACTACGTTCCGTGCGTTCGTTACGCTCCGGATCGAGTTCCAGTTCAAGGGGCTGCTGCTCTGGACTGCCCTGGGTCGCCAGTTCGGCGGCAAACTCATGGGCCACCGCTGCCACGCCATCAGCGGGTGGTCCCAGAGCCGACAAAGTGGCATTTCTACTTGGACGTAGTTGCAGGAGTGCATCCGAGCTTCCTGAGGCATCTCCTCCCGTCTGCAGCGGAATGTACATGTAGTTGCGCCTCCTCCCCTGACGCGTCACATTCTCCGGGAGCGTGGGCACCAGCTGCTTGGGCACAGTGATCAGCTCACTCTGCGGCAGTTCCACGGAGGGTGCTGGTATGATCTCCACGGCGGCTGAGGAGTCAGAGCGACGCTGGGCTCCTCCGTTCATTTGCCGGGCGGTGCGGTAGGAACCAAAGGATTGGAACACTGTGCCATCGCTGCGCTGGCGCACGTCCTTGAAGCTGATATCGTCCTGCTGGCTGAAGCTCTGGTAGGGAGCATACAGATTCCGGGCAGTGGCGGGCGTCGTGTAGGGCGAGGTGGAGGTGGCCGCCGCCGTTTGCCAGGGCAGCAGCTGGTGACCCGTCAGCAGAGCAGCCGTCGTTAATGTGGTGGGTGTGGCGCTGGAGGAGGCACTGGCTGCGGAACAGTAGGCGAGCAGATTAATGGCCCACGTGAGTTGTTGGCTCCATCTCCAGGTGTTGCGTGTGCTGGCCACTAACATCTTACATCGAGCAGGATGAGCGGCGCGTGAGTGAGTGGCGTTTGGTCGGTGGTAATGACACTGGCTCTGGCTGTGGCTCCAATTAAGGTGCAGCCGCTCCACTTCCTGCTTGGCGCCGCCTGAACTTGAACGCTGGCCGCCCAAGCCGCTGAGCCGCTGAGCTGCTTCGCTTTTCCTACGCTCCGCTGAGCTTGGGTACTGAAAAGTGGATACCGAATGCTGTCAGCTGCGTGCCGCGTTCATTGATCTCTCGCCACTGCTGGTTTTTGGCCTGGTCTCGGTCTTGGTCTTGGCCTGGGTCTGGGTACGGGTACTGGTCTTTGGATCGGCAGTGTTTGGGGATTTTCCGGCGCAATTGAGCTTGATTTGCAGTGCCTGCCGCCGATGGCTCGTGTGGCGGGTTTCGTTCGGATCGGATTGGATCGGTTCGGATTGGATTGGTCCGGGTGCGGCGCCGGGATGGGATTGGATTGGAGCTTGGGTGACGGACGGGTGTGTTTGCTGCTGCTGGTTCAGCGGTTATTGGACTGTGTGCGCTGCTCCAATGGCAATTATGGCAATTGCTGTTGACGCTTTAACAGCCACGAACCACGTTCCACGTTTCAAGCGGTTTCATGTGCTCGCATGTTGCACTGCATCGCGACTCTGGCCACGAATTACTTCCTTAATTGCCTGCAACAGATATAAACAGATACATTATTTTCCTGTGTGTGTGGAAAATCTTGTTTTCGGCTATTTCGAGTGTCGGGTTGTGTGGGAGTGAAGCTCATAAATGCATTGCCCAAATGGACAGCAGTAATCTCCGCTTTGCGCATTAAATTCCCATTAATACCGCCGCAAATTAATTTAAAATCATCAATTTAAGCGAAAAACTCGTCGCAAACTTGCAACTGCAACACGCGTTTCCTCGGTCACAAGCTTTTTTCTTTTTGTTGTATTTTTTGGGAAACCTGTCGCCGCGATAAAAGCATCTGGGAAAACTGGAAAAACCGTCATCATGCCGCTGTTTTTATTTAATTTCCCTTTTTACGTTTTTCTGCGGATTTTGTTATTTTTGTTTGCCTTGTTTTTACATTTTTCGTTTAACGATAGAAGGAAATGAATGAGTGTGTTGAAAATGCAAAAGCAAATACGAGGTGTTGTTCAGTACCCTAACTTGACCCTTGAGGTATATGGGCTTCTTGAGAAGGTTTTTTGTTATTAAGAGGGAATATTTGGTTTAAAAGCTGTCCCTATTATAATTATTAAATAAAAGCTAGGAACCACCTGAAATCTCAATAAATATATGTTCATTGTTACTTTTCTTGGTGCTGACAAACCTGTGCTGGTTTATGAAATACTTTTATTTTATTTTAGGTAATTTATTAAGCAATTAACTTATGTATCTTGAGATGGAAAGTGGTGATTACGATTACCTTCCAGCCAAAGACAACTCTATTTTCCTTAATAAAAATCAAACAGAACCATAAAAGTACACTGAAAGTGAACGGCTATGAAGCAATAGTGTTTATTATATGAGGTAACACACATATAATCCTTTCAAAATGTGGAAATTTATTTAAATTTAAAGCTTCAAGTGGCCAGTCGTTCCCCTTGCTCAATCCACTATAAAGTTATTGCCTTAAAAAAGCTTTTAATTAGCACATCAACGCTTAATTGATTAATTAGGAAAGTAAGCGTTGCAAAATGTTAAATATTAACACGAATGGCTAAAAAAAAGTCCATGCAAATTGCCAACAACTTTGATGAGACTATATAAACAATTTTCAAGGAATTCCAGAAGGCTAAAAAATACAAAATGCCAAATTAAACCTAATTTTTCCCCCGAAAAAGTGCTATCTGCAGTCGACCTGGCTCAGAACTCCCATTGCCAAAGTATCTGCTGAATGCCTGGTCAGCCGAGCAGCAAAAACAATTGCCTGGAAAGTAAGAGTTTGCTTTTTTTTAGCTTTTTTCTTCGGGTTTTTGTTCGCTCTGCTCGGCAGCATTGCAGCCGGCACCGTCGTCTTTTCACTTTCATTTCGAGTTCATGCACCAGCGGAGCAGCTGCTTGGCGATTTTTTTGCAGCTTGTGCGCCGCTCCGTCGATCGCTTCCTTTAACTCTTGGTTCAAACTTGACATTTTGAACTTGATTTTGTTTGGCAATGCAATCCGGGAAACTAGGAAGCTGGAGAGAAGCTCTCCAGTGGAGGCTGTGGAAACTGCCCCCGAGAAACGTGACTCGGCGCTTCGACAGCTTTGCATAATAGTTAACACATTTTGCAAACACTTTATGTATAGATGGTTTTCGATTATGAAATATTGTGATTTTTTTTTTTTTTTGGCGACCCAACTGGTTTTGCCAGCTGGCGAAAAATAATTTTTGTTGTTTTTTTCCTTTCCACGCACCGTGATGCAACTGGCACTGGCCAAGACTCAATTTACATTTTCGCCAGTTGCAGTCAGGCAGGCGGAGTTCGGCCGGGCTAATCCGGGATCGGACTCGGATCGGGTTACGTAAGCTTGCACTCTGCTGACAGCTGCCCCATCATCATCATCATCATCATCATTGTCATCATTGTCATCATTATCAGCAGCAGCATCATCATGCTTTATCATCATCACCATCAGCCATCATTGGGCAGCTGCAACAATGCGTCTGCGTGCCGCTTCCATTTCGAAACGGCCTTGAGTGAAGGACGCCGGAAACTGGCTTTCGGCCATTTCTCTTTCTTTCGCTCTCCACACCATGCATAATTTACAATCGTTTTGTTGCTCCGTCTGCTTTCAGTTTATTTGTTTTAATTAACAATACTCTGCTTGGGATTTGTATTTATCTTCTCTCTTGTTTTTTATATATTTTTCACTTCTCTTCTCTTGGCTTTATTTTTGGGCGGAATGGAGGAACAAAACCCTTTCATCCGTTCCCGCCCGCAACTTGATTGCTTTTGTTTTAGTTTTGCGCTGGCAGTGAAAGTTTTTTTCTGAGGCAAACAATGCGTCGTTCATTCCGTTTCGTTTCGTTTCCATTTCGCTGCAAACAAGCGATTTTGTTGCTTTTCAGCTCGTAATTGAGATAAATGCATTTTAAATGCGCCGAAGCAGCTGCGCAGCATCATCGCTGGTAACTGGTTGCATTTGCAGTTGGCAATTGCCATGGCTATATGGCCATTGCGTATGCAGATGCGATGCTGCTTTTTGGGGACTCGATTATGCGTCACAAATGTGGAAAACTTTTCCCCCATCTCTGGCCACGCATAATTCAGGCAAATGAATTCTCTCTGGCATTGTCTTGGCACTGCCAAATGCGCCAAATGACAATGGCAATAGCCACAGATGCAGCAGCCCCAGCCAGAGCAGCATCATCAGCTGGAGCTGAAGCTGAAGACACCGCCAACAATGGCTCAACAGCACACACACAAAAGCTTAGCCACAAGTTGTCATTTTCGTTGCGGCTTGATGAGTTGCGCATTAAATAAATGCGACACAAGCTGCTGCTGCTGCTGCTCCTCCTCCGGCTCAAGGAAATTTTTATGCATTTTGTTGAATTTGGGGGGGAAAATGCTTAAATTATGGAGGAGGCAACCGGTCGCTTGGTTAATAAATTAAGTAAACCAAAAGAGAAGCCGGAGACAGCAGAAAATCTCTTTCATCAGGCGGATGGGAAATGTAAAAACCCTGCTAACAATGCTCGTGAAACAATTGTTAACAAATGTGTCTTCCTTTGATGTTTCACAAAATAAAAAGAAATTAAAACGCATATCAATGGATCTGTAAACCGAAAATAACAAAAGGCCAAGTTCAAAGGCTTTTTTTACGCTCTTTGAAAATATTTGTTTATCTTCTTAGGGCATCTTTATGTTACAAAAAAAGAAATCGTATTTATAATTGCTTAATAAATTGTAAATATGAATCAAAAATGGATTTTTTCGTTATTAAATATCATCAAAATTCCTTTTATTTTCGCCTCAAAATGATCGTAAACATCTCTTGTTAATTTTCCAACTTTTCCCTGGTTAACCGTGGCATTTTCCCATTTATTTAGGCAGGCAATCAAAAGACAATCACCACAAGCAGCCACAAAATTGATGGCCCCTCCTCGCCTTGTCCGACTCCGAATGCGACTCCCACTCCCAGTTTCGATGGTGGTTTGGTGGCTGTCTTCTTGCCAGAGTTGGAATTAAAATAGATTTGCTCAATTATTTTGAATTGCTACCATTTGCAATTACGGATTGTTTGCACAAGCCGAAAGGTTAAAGCCATTTGACTTTCCCACCACCACCAGCAGTACTGCCACCCATCCCCCAAGTGGGTCAAACAGCTGCGCTCGTCTTGCGGCCTGTCCATAGCCAAATTAAGTGGAAATTGGTGTCATGCCATTGGCACATTTTGCCCGGCCCGAAAACAAAAACGCCAAACATATTAGAGCCGCCGGGCAGCGGTGTTGGGTAAGGTAAGTGCCGTTGTAAACCGCAGCCAAGAGCGTTTCAACACGCCCGGCCACATAATCAATCGCTGGCCGAGAGATGGCACCTGTGACGTCTCTGCTCCACACACACACACACCCAAACTGTGTGTTAATTAGTATTCAATACGCGAGGCTGCTGCGCAATTGTTACGAATGTGTTAAGTCGACGAGTGCTAAGAAGTAGCCGTGTAGACCAACTTGGCAACAACAGTAGCCATAAAATTGATATATATAGAGAGGATTGCATGCAAATCGTATATGGCGGTGATGATTATGCAATTAGCGCCACTCACGCTCTGGCAGGAGCATATTAATCAATAGATAGTGTTAGCTTTTTCTGACTCTAGATTAGATAAGCGCAATAAACTCACGGCGATCCCCTCGCTAATGACTCGTGGCGTGCTGTAAGAGTTTACGTAGATAAACAAAAGACTCAGGCAACAAACTCGGCGGTTGCACAGCAGAAAATTTCAGACAGATCACGCTCAGTCCGGTGTATGCTAGGGCAATTACCTTCCAAAAGACCACATGGCGTATGAGTAATATTAAAAAGTAGCTAGTGTGAGCTTAAAGACTGAAATATATCAGAGAAGCTCAATAAACTTTTCGGGAACCTCATGCTAATGACTCGTCGTGATGGGCTGCCAAAGAGAAATTGGGGAAATACCCTCCCCAGAAAAGGTCGATAAACAAAAGACTCAGGCAACGAACTCGACTAAGACAAAAGACTCTGGCGCCGAACTTGGACCGCTAAAGAGGTGAAGCTCAGCCAAATGTTATACCAATAATTAGCTGACCCATAGCCGGTAGCCGCAGTTAACTCCCCCGCTCCGCCCACAGCGCCCAATTAACAACAACAAGCTGATAAACAAACAACCCGAATGCATAATCAATTGGACTCGAAACGAAACGAAAAGAGGGGAAAACGATGAAAACAAAAAAGCAACGAAAAAATTGAGAAATCATTTGCATAAAGCCAGCAACAATTTTCGAGTGCTTCGATTGGCTTACATAAGACGGAGGCACAATGCACAAAGAAGGCAAGAGAAAGAAAATATTTACATAAACCATTAACAAAAAGAAAATAAAAGCAAGGCAAATGGAGCCAAGAAATCCATTGCCATGGTCACAATTTGGCGGAACTTGTTTTTCAGCCACCACTGGCTCGTATATTTCGAATTTTATTACACGATGAAAAAGGGTCTCAGCCCCAATAAACCCAAAATCCCCCCGGTGCTGAACCAGACTTGAGGCGCTACCAAAAATTAAGTAATTTGCGTCGAGCTGCTGTTGTTGCTGCTGGAAAGAAAGTTCTCAGTCACAACAAAAATGCGTGCCGTACATAAATATATACTATATATATTTGGCATCTATATATAACATGCTCCAGAGAGCAGCCGCCGAGCAATACGAGTTTCTCCGCTTATGCAATAAGCCAGCCCTAAATTGAAAAAGCAAAATAAAATAAAACCACTTCAGGAAAACGAAAGAAAAAAAAAAGTAAAGAGATGTTACCAAAAAAAAAAAAAAAAAAAAAAAGAGACGGCATCGGCGTCGGCGTTCGGCGTTGCTGATAATGAAGTTCATGTCATACACCATATATAGGAGTATATCATGTATATATATATGTATATTGTGAAGTCAACACACAAGACTTCGACGGAGCCATAAAAACGTTGCCAAATAATTTGTGGCCCAAGCTGCAGTTAACCAAATTGAGGCTAAGACGCCGAGGCGATGCGGCTCCCCTCTCCTTTGGCTTTTGACTCATTTCCCATTTCGTTTGCCCTTCTTTTACGCACTTTGGTGTGTGCGAGTGTCTCAGTATTTATGTTTTCCGGTTCGTTGTTTCTTTCCTTTTTGCATTTCGTTTCCTTTTATTTGCTTTATTGGCGACTTGACATGGTTTCTTCTTTTGTTTTTAGCTCTTTTTTTAAGCCAACCTATTTATTATTCCAAGTCTGTGTTGGTTATGTAATAATTATCAAGTCGTTAATGTGGAAATACATTGAATAATCGCAGCCCCAAGTTTAGCATGGTTTCATTTGGGCTGACAAATTATTGGGTCACAATTGAATGACTTTTGAAGTTCAACGAAAGTGTTAAATAATGCAAGAAATATTGCCATTTCTGAACCTTTGAGCAAGCTCTAATTTCGAGTTGTTACTAATGTTCTAACTCTTTGTTACAACTCAAAATATGTGAAGAAAAACCCTATTTAAAGAAATGTATAAAGTTAAGTATTCTTGACTTTTTACCCACGTTTCCTTGACATTATCACTGTTTTCTTATTTTAATTTTACACATTTTGCATTTTTAAACTCAATTACGCTTTTTTAAAATTTACTTTGATAGATTTAAACCAAAAATTATTCACTTAAAGTTTTCTTTTTCTTAAGAAATTACAAATGCTGATACTTGCAGCCAAAAATCTACCGAAAAACTAAAAGAACTTGCAATTTCCTTTTAGGTAAAGCCACCTGTATGCTCCACTTAAGATACGCACAGTTTTGGCTGCCATTAATATAACCACCTCCGCCGTTATTCTTGTCAGCTTAAATCCAAATACAGGATTGACTTCTCTTGCAGGTGCAATGATAATTTGTAGAAACCACTCCAAGTCTTGACTGCTAACGGGATCAGGCCCGACATATCGCCTGCGTTGGATTATGTGTCCAGGCATTTTGCAAGCATTTAACGGCGAATACTTTCCACATTTTGCAAGAGACCACGCCATGAGGTTTGCGTTTTATGCATTTGCAGAGCAAATACCCATACGTATATAATATCATGCATATAACATACATATGGCGAGATTTATTAGATAATGGCGCTTTACTTTTGCACCATAACTAACTATGGAGTTTCTTTTTTTGCGGTTCGTGAACGGTGCGATGTGCGAATGTTGCAATGTTCAAATGATTTAATCGCCGCTGCTGCTGCTGCTGCGGCTGCTAGCAACGCATCGATAAATGTCGATAGCGCTTAATTAGAAAAACTTAATGTCTCACCTCTCTGGAGCTGTGTCTGGGTGTGTTGTGGAAATCCGCTGAGAATTAATCCAATTTGCTTTGTTTATTTGTTTGTTTGGAGTGTGTTTTTTTTCGTTGATCACAAATACTGGAGGGGGAGAAAGAAACGGTATTAGGATCCCGATTACAAATTGCTTGCAATTTATGTGGCTGTTTTCATTGCACTTTTCTTTATTGTTTCGCCGTGTTTTGTTTCGTTTTTCTTATTGCGAGAGAGTAATAACAAAAACATGAAATGCCTTGCTTTTTTTTTAGCTGCTGGCTGGATCGGATTGGATCGGTTTGGATCGGATCGGAGCGGCGTACAAGCAGAAATATTGTTCAAAGTCCCAGAGACTCGACTCCAATTGCAAAATCAAATCACTTTCACTGTCAGGAGCAGATCGGTGGGCGGCTCCAGCGGCGGGAAAGGGGGTTTGGTTTTCTTAAGCCAGCAGTTGCACTCTGCAGCTTGCCGCTTGCTGTAATTGGCGCTACGTTTAGCCCCAAGGTCCTGGCCGCTTTACCGTTATCTTAATCCTTGTGCGCACACTCACACTGTTCGCGATCACGAGCCGCCTAACTGCACAGTAACGAGCGCGAACCGAAGTCGTAGCCGAGAAGCCGGAGCCGAAGTTGAGCTTAGCGAGCAAACACAACCTCTTCGGGCGAACTGTGGAAGAAGTCTGAACGCTGTGCTCTGCGCAGCCGCCAAAGCTGGTGCGAGCTTTTTCCTCCGCTGCGGCTGCCTACGAAGCAGCGCTCCAAAGAGGAACTGGCAAAATCAGCTGTCTGCCCCGTCGATTAGGCAACAACAATAACTGCACAGACAAGCGTAAATAATACGAGACGGGGGGGAGGTAGGCCGTCGTGAGGGGGGGGCTGCAGTACTGTAACAGTAACAGCCACCGCATTGTACAAATAATACAAATTATTGCCTAATGCCTTGGCAGACGAACGTACACCGAAAAAATGCTATATTAATAATATTTAGTCATATGTTTAATCCTAATGGAAACTAATTGTATAATTACAGCCTGAAATACCATAAAAGCTAATCGCTAATCGTTTTAAAGGGGATTAAGGAAAACTCATTTCGGTTTCCATATGCTAATCACAAATTAGACTACATCAGGTAACGAAGAGTGAACATTCAAATGGAAATTATTAACATTTATTATTTCCACTTCCTAGAGTATTTATACAATAATTGAATACATTTTTCTTTCAGCGTAAGCCACCCATCAGCCTCCACGCCCTTTGTTGGCCGCAATTATGATATAAACTCGTAAGGCATCATTGGCCGCCATGGTCAATAGTAAGCACCATCGTTTTATATCGCTTTGCCGGCCGAAAACAAAACATGACAGCCGCCAATTAAACATTTTCAGTTCATATTTTCCCCAATGCCGCCGCCGCCAAGAAAAACAGAACCCACAATTCACGAGAGCGCCTCGCGCAACATTTAATGCCTTTTGACAGACTGTGACAGCCTGTGACTCCGCAGTGACTCGGCTGTGACAGCTAATTGCAGTTGATTTGATTGAAATGTACATACAGACTCGTCCATCAGCGTGTGCGCCTTGTCCAGCTGACACCGCTTGGTGGCCAACCTGGTGGCTGCCAGGTAAGCCAAATTAAGTCCCAACCGTAACACAAGGGTGTGCCCTCAAGTCCATGGTCAGAAATAGAAGCAAATGGGATTTCAGAGAACCATGAAAATGTTACATTACATTAGTAATTAAAGTACCTGGATTTGTAGAAGAAAAAGCGTAAAGGAATTTGGTTCAATTTGTTTATAAAAACCTCTAATACTTTTGTTATGCAGAGAGAAAATAGTGTTTTAGTTTATTTAAATAAAGATAAGGAATATACATTTAATTCATAGAATATAAATATTTATTTAAATATTCATACATAACAGATCGTTTCTCTGCAAATTTAAAATTTTATAAAATTTATAAAAACTGATTGTTTCTAATTTTATTTAAAATACGTTTCTAAAATCTTTTTATTATAAACACAATTTTTTAACCTAATGAAAACTTTGGATTAATCACTTTAAACTTATGAATATTAATCATGAAAAATGTATTATTTAATACAAATTTCCTTGGCATTACAAACTTCATATTTTAACAAAGATTTCTGTGCCACAAAAAAAGTTCAAAACACTTGAACTTCTCCGATTTCAAACAGCTCTATCTGATAACTTATTTAGTGTTTTTAGGTAATCCCACTTCCAGTGTTGACAGACCTTCTGCCGCTGCCCACAATTACCACCGGCAGGCGAGTTCAATAGCTAAAGTCTGACAACTTACTTACGGCCTGAATAGCTCGTCTGTTATCTGTTTTTGGCCACTCGAGCGTTCAAGCCCGGTACAGCGAATACCTAATACTTAACAATTCAACGTCAAGGCTGGCTGGGAAGCCTTGATCTTAAAACAGGGTGGTACGGATACGAGTTCGGGTTTTACCAGCAGTCACATCTGCTACGGACGATGGTATGGTGTCGACTTTTGTGTCGCCCATGTCGTCGACAATGGAGAGTGGCCTTTGGGCAAACCACGAGATCACAGCATCCGCTGTCGCTGCCGCTTTCAGATAGATGATTCATCCGGCATCGGCTTTTTTGGCGGATTTCTTCTACTTACGCGAACTTTTGATTGCTGCCCCTTGCTGTTGCTATTTAGCGAAGCTAAAAGTCCGTTTTGCTCTCTATTCGCACACGAATCGAAAGTGAAAGGAGCAGCAACAGCAGCGGCAGCAGCAGCGGCAACGGCAGCATTTCTTCATCTGTATCTGCAGTTGATGCCATGTAGCAACTACACAGGAAAGAAAACAAAGCTTTAATGGTTTGATTTTAATTTATTTATAATATTATATTTTAAGAACTTATAAATTACATTAAAATCTGATTAGAAGTAATTAAGAAGCTGATTTAGTATCGGAAAGGATCGATGATCTTAACAAAAGAGATGATCGATCCTTTAAGACCTTATACAAAACTCTTAATATTGGTTGGTAATTTAATTTGAGGAAGCTAGTAAATATATAAATATTTATATTTCTTAAACAATAAAGTAATTTATTTAAAATTCAAACTATACTTTCTGTGTATTGCGGCTGCGGGGCATGGGCATCGGCAATGGCATTGGGATTGGGATTGGGTTGAAGCTGGAGCTGGGAGTTGGGGCTTGGGGCTTGGGACTGGGATTGAGATTGGTGCGGGTGCTGCTCCAGCTCGAGCGAATCAACTCCAACGCCAGCTGCTGGCGGATGCTTGCGACAGTTGGAAAGTGTTTGCCGCTTTGCTTTTTTTTATTTTTGTGTTGTTGCTTTGCCACTTTGTGCTTTTTTCGTTTTCTGTGGCCAGGGCAAATATTTGCATACACTGCTGCTGGCAAACTGGCAACCGCAAAGTCGAGTAGCAATTGCTCTTAATTTCGCATGGCACAATTTCCAAAGGGGCAGCTGGCCTGTCCGCAATTATGAATATTCATTAATCGATGACAGGCAGTTCGGCTTGGAGTTTGAAGTTTGGCATTTGGAATGCGCCGAAGCGATTTCTCTCCATGTCTCTAACACAGTGCCGGGCAGAAATCGGCAGCGGCAACTGAAGCATCGCAAAAAGGCAGGCAACTGCAATGAGGAAGTTGAAGCGTTTCGGTTTTCCACACACCTCCAGCTCAGCAGCTCCAGCTCAAGCGGCAGCGCTGCAAAAGGCAGGCGGCGAAAATCGATAATTGAAAAAAAATATTTGCTGCGCGCGGCATTAGCATATATTTGCCCCCCCAGCAGCAAGACAGGGTGTTGCGGGGCGTTTCCGCGGGTATGTGCGGTGTGTGTGCCGAGAGCACACCCTGTGTGCCACATACAGGAAAATATTCGCAAACGAGTATCGGCAGCAGGCAGGCGCGGAGGCCTCGCCTGATGGCCATGCCATCATCACTTTCACCCAGAGGTGATATAATGGACGCAGCCGCAGCCCAGCGAGCCCCCGACTGCGTCACCAGAGCCCACAGATGCCTCCTCTTCCTGAGCCATCAATGGGATATGTTCCTATATATAAAAAGGGGAATGCCTGATCCTTCTTTAATATTTTGTACAGATAACAAAATATACTAAAAAGTTGTCTAATAATTATCCTTCTTTACTTAGTTTTTATTAGAAATAAATATAATAAATATCTCTATCCTGCCTCTGCCTGCACAGTCCTAGTATTCACAAAACCTAGACAAATCATCAGTTTAAAGATATTCTTTTAGTCATAAACCCTTTTTTTTTAACCAACATGTAACTTCCACCGTTATTTTCTTACTATTTCACCATCACCGGTCCCGTTTTGCGGTTTTTCCCCAACTCGTGATCCATTTTAGCACCCCCAATTCCCATAGCCAGGTCCAAGAACCGCCGGGATCCGACTGATCTAAACTGTTTCTTTTGTTTATGCGAACTTAGCACCAGCACACGATCGTTGCTAACGATTATCAATAACACCTCCTAATTCGATTAGCAAAGCTTGACAAATTGCCAATATTTAGTTAGCCAATTAGCAGATTTCAGTTCATTTGCGATAAATAATCAAATGCCAGAACAGAACGGCCGAAGCTGAGCCGCAGTAAATGCAGCTAATATGGCAGGGGGATAAATGCGACGCGTGGCTAGGATATTAAAAACTTTCCATTCCTGTGAGCTGTCAGTCATGCTACATATATAACATGGTTGTATAGGTTGTAGGGTCTGTGCCACGAGCCAAACTTGATCGCAAAATTCGCGGCAATTAGTGAGCAGCTGTGTAAAAAACCACCAAGAGCACTAATAATTAACAGCAAACAATTAAACGAAACGGGAATACTCTGAAATTTGCCAAAACTTGGTTAGAATTAGTTAACAGATAAAGAAAAATATACAAATATGTTTTTTGATAAAGAAAACAAGAAAGGAAGCTAACTTCGGCACGCCGAAGTTTTTATACCCTTGCAGATTGGTTTCGATGTTTATATTATAGATTTAAATGCTGAAAACACTCACAAAACAGAGTTTCATTACATTTTACCTATACTTATTATGTTTACAGTTTGACAGTTACAGTTTTACATTCCCAGCTTTACATATTTTATACATTTGCCGATCGCTTCTATGGCAGCTATATGATTTAGTTGTCCGATTTTTATAAAATTTATACCAAAATTCTAGAATAATAAAAAAAGCTTATAACTTAAAGTAGATGAAAATACGTTGAAAAACAACGAAGTTATAATTTTTTTTCGATTAATTTCCCGATCGTTCCTATGGCAGCTATAAGATATAGTCGTCCGATTTTCATAAAATTTTTACCAAAATTCTTAAATAA